ACTTCTTTTTCATTTTGCATTTTTTAGATATTATAAAAACAAAATATTGCAAGAAGAATCATCATTCAGAATCCCAAGCTTTAGCTTGGTTTCCCTTCTGTTTTACCTTGTAGTTTCTCTGATTTAATGAAATATTAAACATGCAATATTATGCAATATGGTGTAACTATGTTCAGTTTTTCTCAAATATAACCTTATTTCTGGTTAGCAGTTAAACTGTATTTTAATTCAGTAACATGGTTGGCTTTACTGTATGAAATTAGTCTGTCCCATACAGCAAACCTTCAGCTATATGCTCTTTTTGCTGTGTTAAGGGCTGAAGTCAGAGGGCCTCTACAGAGTGTCAGGCTTCACAGAGCATATAGAAGATGTGAGGCTGGCCTTCGACAGAGGTGGGTGTGCACCCTCAAATTTTACATCAGCATCTGATGTAACTACAATGAAACTACGCTTCCAGTGGTTTCCAGATACTGCTGGAAATGTAGAATTGGAACTGGATTGCAGCCAGATTTCCTGTGCATTTAAGCAAGGGCAAGACACAGTACAGTCTGGGCATTCATTCTCAGTATGACAGGTGATTCTCCTCCACAGATGGTGAGAAGGCAGATATCAGTGCCAATGCCTATCCAGACATCAACACCATTACAGGAGCCCTGAAGCTCTATCTGCGCGATCTGCCCATTCCAGTCATCACTTATGACGTCTACTCCAAATTCATACAGGCAGCCAGTAAGAGCCATCAAACACCATCACCTTAACCTTGATTCCATTGACTATTCCATGTAAGATGATTACAGCTGATGAGCTAAATATGGCTTGTTACATAAGGAAGTCATCTAAAATGTGCAGGACTGGGAAACACTGATTTACTGGAATGGTTCACTGAAAAGTCAAATGTATACAATTTTTCCCTTACCTCAAATGTTGTCAGTCAACAAAGACATGTTTAGTGTCTGAAGATTTTTGGTTTTGCACTGGAAATAAAATAATAGAAGAATATGTCACCAAAAAAGATTTTCTATTACTATTAGTTTTTAACTACATTTTGTAGCTCCAGGGCAAAACTAAAGACACATTGCAGGAGAATTAACAAAGTAGTGAAAATAAAATCCCTTTGTAAATCATAAGTATAGCTATTGTGCTCTTGTGCAGAAATAAATGACGCTGACGCCAGGCTAGAGGCAATCCACGACGGCCTTCTACAGCTTCCTCCTGCCCACTATGAAACTCTCCGCTACCTGATGACCCACCTGAAGAGGTAAGGTGCACCTCAATTTTAGACTTTATTTTCACAAGACATTACTTTCTACTTTACTGTAGTTTCTTTAGTTTAATAAAATATTGACCATGAAAAAGTAGGATATTATGCAGTATGGTGTAGAGCAGGGATGCCCAATGCTGCTCCTAGAGATCCACCACCCTGCAGAGTTTAACTCTAAACGCACTTGATCCAGGTAATGAAGGCTGTCAGGGACATCGGAATATTTGAAACGTCTGAAAATTCTGTCCAAAACTCATCCAAACTGGCTCATTACACAAAGTTGCTGAATATAACCTTAGTGCCAGTTAAATTACTGTGTAGCAACAATATCTGTTATTAGATCATGAATAAATAAAATAAAAAATAATATAAAACAAATTGATATAATGAAATAGTTAGCTGTCCAAACAGTTTAGATAAACTGTCCATAATGTGCTGTTCTTACTCTGTGTGGTGCTCATATTGTAGGATGATAGCATGCTTGTGTTTAATCCTACAGTTCTGTTCCTTTACACTATTTTGGTCTTATCTAATGATGACATAGATATCACAGGTCAGCCTCTCTTAAATGTTCATTTTTATTTTACCATTGCATACTGGGAGTCCCTATAAAACCAATGGTCAACTAATTCATCAGAATAATTGTAATAATATCACAATTCTTTGTGTGCTTCTGTACCATCGCTTCTACTTTGTTTGGATGTGTACGTGCTTGTCAGCTGGTCTAAAAAGAAAAACTATAGCCTGGCTTTGTAGGTAATGGGCTTCACTGGTATGCTGTAACTTGTCTAACTAGGTTCCATACATTTTCCCATCAGAGAAAAATAGGTCATTCGTCTCTTTTTGCACGTTTACCACTAAAACATTGAGGTTTTATTTTAAGTGCATTCTCTTTGCCTTTGCCATTAGGGTCACCATGTACGAAAAAGACAATCTAATGAATGCAGAGAATCTGGGAATCGTCTTTGGTCCAACTCTGATGCAGCCGCCAGACCAGAACACACTGGCCAGCCTCAACGACATGAGGCACCAGAAACTCATCGTACAGCTATTGATCGAGCATGAAGATATCCTGTTTTAAACACATCAACCGTAAAGGTTTTCGTATTCAGTACTCAGATGGTTTCTGAAGTGGTCAGGGTGGCCATCCATCAAATCTGAAGACCCTGCTTTTGGTAGAGAATTGCATAATATGGATGCATTACATGCTGAATTACACCGAATGTGTTGTAAACCACCAATAACACTTGGTGGTCATGATGCTACGATGCTATCTGGATCAGTACAAATGCTCTTACATTATTTTTTATATGTATTCTTATTTACTGTGATCCCATGCAGAGCAAATCAAGACGAATAAAGACAAAATCTTATTTTTTTTATAAATTGTTTGTACGATACAGTAAAATTAGAGTACTACTTCCCCAGAAACCAAATAATGTAAATTACAGCCTGGCACATGACTGATGGTTCCGTGTTCAGTGTGTTGCACTGATGATGATTTCATGGTTCAATATGATTTAAAAGTTGTTTGTTCTTTGTAACAAGGGTGGTATGTACAGAATATGTGCACATTTGATATGTGTTCTACAATGAAAAGACCTAATATGAAGCACTTTTTTTTGCTTTTGCAAAGAGTGTAAATATTTTCATCCTTAAGTTTTCTGCATTATGTGTTAATAACTATGAATATAAACCCCAAATTCCCTTTTAATTTTTATTTTTTTGCCAGAAAAAACAGAGGGAAAGGCACCGATAATGTTCAGTGTAGTTCCTTTGTGCTTGTATATACTCTTGTAGCACACAGCTTGTTCTTATCTTAAGGATGGTACCGATAAGGAGCGTTTTGACCGTCTCTGACTGTGATATCGGCGTGTGAGCCAATGTGGATTGGGTGCTGGAAAGAAATAATCACAGCTAGTTCTGTTGCCTTTGTCTATGTCTGTTGAAGTTGTTTATTTGATATGAGACCTTTCTACAAATTTGTTCTATGAAAAGTATTTTCTGTGAAGAATGTAATTATGATTGTAATTTATCAAATACTGATTTATTAAATTATGTAAACCTGGTTTACTAAGATATGTTTACTTTGTTCATTTGCCAAGAGTGTTCTTACACAAACAAACAGAGTAGTTGCTATAAAAATAAAAAGATACCATACTGTGCAAATTCAGATACTACCCTTCATTTATTTGATTTCTAACCAAAGCTGTATAATAAGTTATTATTTTCAAGTTATTTATTTTCAGGAGTTATTTCTGAGGAGATTAAACACAGTCCACTTGGAATTGGAAAGTCAAAAGCAGGAGATTCCAAAACTAGAGTTCAGAAAATAATTAAGAGAAACAGAGAAAATGGAACTCCTAATAACCATGCAAGACCTGGCAGACCACCAAAACTGTCACCATCAGATAAACAGTATTTAAAGCTTTCATCTTTGAGAGAGAGGAGAAAATCAAGCTCCACTTTTGCTCCACAGGTGTTTCTGTCCATCCTTCCACTGTGAGAAGACAACTCAACACTATGAGTCTGAAAGGATGTGTAGCTGTCAGGAAGCCCTTACTGAGAAATAAAAATAGTCAAAAAGAAGAAAATCCAACAAAAAAAGCTGCAGGTGTTCTCAGAGCAAGGGACTGGTAACCCCAGAGTCCAGGCCTCAGCGTCACTGAATATGTTTAGAAGTACTTTAATCATGAGAAGCAGAAACTGCAATCAATTTCTAAGACTGAACTTTGGAGATGTGGAGAAATATCCCCGCAGATTTCTTTGAAAAACTGAAAGCAAGTCTCCTGAAAAGAATGGAAGCTGTAATAAAGGCAAAGTGTGGACATACTAAATACTGAAAAAAAAAAATGTTCAGTCCTTGAGGCTTCTGTGCATTTTTCTGTAAAATAAGTTTTTTTTCCTTGATGCTGAAAAATTAATAACCTTCTGTACTTAATGGCTGTTTCGACAAGAAAATAAAGAAATGAGGGGTGGTCCCGGACTCTTTGCACAGTACTGTACAATCTCAAAAGGTTAATAGATTTTTACAGCTACACTCTTAAAAAAGATGGTGCTTCAAGATTTCTTTAGCAAGGAAATGGAGTATATAGAACCATGAACACACCTAGAACCCCTTGTATGATTAAAGGGTTTCTGCACTGATGGATAATGTGCACGAATGTGCTATATATCATTCTAAATAGAACCTTTTTCAAAATGGTTCTATATAGCACCCAATAGGGTTCTTCTATTGTTACAAGCTTGACAATAACAATAGAAGAACCCTTTTGGGTGCTATACAGAACCATTTTCAAAAAGGTTCTATACAGAACCATCTAGAGCACATTCTCCATCAATCTGAAAAACACTTCCATGAGGCAAAGAACGCTTTAATCATGCAAAGGGTTCTGTGAGTGTTCATGGTTCTATATAGAACCATTTTCTTTACTAAAGAACCTTTGAAGCGCCATCTTTAGGAGTGCAGCTTGTTTTTGATGACTGCTGGCAGTCTGTCCTGGCAGTAAGGTAACAGATACTTGTCTACATTGATCATGACTCTTTCCACTGTTTACCTTCTCGGGATGTGAAATAATTTGAGTTAGTGTTGCCGACCTCAGCCACACAGACGAGCACGGTGTCCCTGCTGCAGTGTGGTTGGGCTACCTTATTCAAATTACTGGGGTGTGAAGCAGCTGACGTTGTTTCAGTGTCAAACAGTTCAGCAGGTATGCCCGCAGGTGGCTTTTTTGCCAATTCACAGATGACAGCAAGATAACATGAAACCAGTTTCTGAGGGCAGTGTGAAGAGCTGCCAAAGGCTACAGACCAATGAAAGAGACAGTGGGAAGTCTTACAACTCCTCAAAGGTGTGTGGGCTGAACTTACACAGTAAACTAAGCTTTCTTTGCTTGTCTAAGCTTACTGTGTCACAGCTACAGCTGGCTCAACATGGTGTCATAAGGATTTCTCTTTGGGATACTGAAATTACCCAGTCTGGAGCCACAGAAACAGGAGAGATACAGGCACTGAGTGGTCAAAGCCTGACACTGACAATACTGCAAAGCTTTACCTACACTTAGAATCTTTGGTAAGTACTTTATGGAGAATAAGCTTGTTTATTGCTTAATTCAACTGTTTTAAGTGCCCTGCTTCTTTAGTATAGAAACCAATAGACGTTTCTGTTGGTTCCTATAGATGCCCAAGTCCCTAATGGTATTTTGTGTTTTCTGATGTGTTTATATCACAGTGTAAAGGATTCTAATGATTTAACAGATGCTCTGGGACTGATTCCAGATGCATTTGATGGGTTCCTAAGGTGTCCTACAGGGCAGGGTGTAGCACGTTTCAGTCTACTTAATGGTAAATCCTGAACTGTTACAGGGTTTTAATCCTTATTATGATTTATGTTAAGGTGAAATAAAGTCGGAAGATGGCAGAAAGGTATCCCTGGTGGAAGTCCTTAACCAGCAGGACGAAAAACAACATCCTTAAAGAGACCATCGTTCCGCAAGAAGCAGAAAAAGAGGCCAAAGCTCCTGCCAAACAGAGCACAGAGAGCCAAAACTCCAAACTGCTCAGTAACGAGACTTACGATGACTCCCACCTCGAACCCGTGTTCAACGAGAACACCTGCAGGAGGAACCTGAGGGTTTCTCGGTCTGGCCGCTTTAAGGAGAAGAGGAGAGTTAGGGGGACTTTACCGGCCAACTGCAGCTTTTACGAGAACAACACCGCCGTGGCCAAGTAGCCCTGCTGGTGCTGAGAGAGCCGTGATGAAGACAGACTGGAGCGCAGAGCCAGACACACTGCAGCCCAGAGCACAGCGGTACAGCGACACTGCGGTGTGCCTCCGCTGTTAAAAGCAGCACACTGAACAAGTTCGGTTCAGAATAAAAGTTAAAAGGTTTTTATTTTTTGAATTTGGTTCGCACGTTTTTTCTATGTTCGAACGTTTTTTAAAAGTACGAGGTTTTGTTCATTTGAGTTGGCGTTGTGAAAAAACTACAATATCCACAATCCATCTGTTCATAACTCTCGGCAGGCAGGCAGGCTGGTGGGAAAACAGCAGATGTGCAGATTTTCAGCTAACAAAGTGGTTGATTTTATGCAGAAGTTGTACTTTCTCTCCTGTTTGATGGTTTGTGCCTATATTCATAAAACACACTATTCTGTATTTTACTTGTGAGGTTATACTCTAAAGGTGAATTTGGTCAGTGATGGGAATGGGTTTAGAGACTGTTGTACTGCAGCAAATATGGGAAGACTTGATTTTAAACTGCAAACATTAGACAGACTTTTTATATTCAGTTCACCTACCATGAACACCGAAACTAGCTTAATTGATTAATCAATCACTATTACTAGTACTACTACTAATAATAATCCATCCATCCATCCATCATCTAAACCGCTTATCCTTCTGGGTTGGGTGCTGGAGCCTATCCCAGCTGTCATTGGGCGGAAGGCAGGATACACCCTGGACAGGTCGCCAGTCCATCGCAATACTACTACTACATATAATAATAATAATAACAATTATTATTATATAATTATTGTTATTATTATTGTTGTTGTTGTTATTATAATGCTGTCATGAACAGTTATTCATCCACCAGTGCTGGGTCTGTCTGAGTGTAAACCAATCAATGGATTCAGACACATTTGTGTTTTTACATATTTTTTACAGATGTAGCATAGACTGTATATGAAGGCTTTTTTTTTAACCCTCATCCCTGATCCACACTGTGGTCATTTTCAAAGTGATGCATGGCTGTAGTTATTTGATCAGCTTTGAATATGGTGAGCCTCTTATTTATTATCTAAATGGGATTTTACTACTTTTTAAGTAATGATTTTTATGCAGGTCACTTATACTAGGGTCAATGTTGTCCTATCTATGTCTGAGATAGACTTTATAAAATCTAATGTTTTGTTATGAGTTTGTTTAGTTTACATCCATAAGAACTGCACTTTTAAATTGTAAGATATTCCTGTTACTCCCTGTTAGTAAGACTATGTAGCAGGGTATCTTTTATTTTCAGGATTCATCACAACACTCATTAATATTCTCAGTTTCTTTGTAAAATAGGTGTTAAAGCTGTTTTGGTTTTAGGATTAGCCTAGTTATCAACTGTATCCACAAGACCAAAAATTCATAGCAGTCATCATCTGAAGTAGAACATTTAGACAACAAAGTTCATATACTTTAGACTTTTTAGAGAAATGGCTGCATACCATTATAGCAAGCACCCATATCTCTTACCAGGAGTGTTGTGACAGGAAACTCTATTGTAAAGAGAGGTTGGGTAAAATTGTCATATCAAATGGAACGTAATGAAGCATTAAGCCAAGAATAGCTTGATATGTTAAATGGAAGTGCTGCGTAGGCCTGTTAATCCTGATGCACAAGTAAGACATACTGTTGTTTCATTATTGTCCTGTCTGGGTGGGTGTGGACCCATACAAAACAATACAATACTGCACTGTGTTACTGCAAAGGTTCACAGTGTTTTAAATAGGCTGATAAATAGGCAGGAAACACTTAAGCAAACTCTGTTTCTGGGCTTCATGCACTTCAATATTAAAATGTTTCTTGCCACAGTCTTATCATTAAAAAGGGAAGCATTGTCATTCTTATTCATCTTTGTAGTTCAGCATCTTTAGCATCAACATGTGGTGAAGTCCAGTAAACACATAAATCCAACAAACAAAAAGCACAGATTCGTTATCTCTCTCTTCATGTTTTCCTGCATGCAATTTGTGTAAGTAAACCTGCCGGAGTGCTTATATTAGTGAAACTGGATAAGCCCTTTTTGTACTTGAGGAAGACCTTACAGATTTTTCACAAAATGTAAATTGCTAAATGGAATAAAAATTACAAAACTGTCTTTTAAAATGTTTTTTGTCTTTTATTTTTCCCGAAATTGTTGAGCATTCTCTTGCGTAATACTTTTGCTTTTGAAGGTACATTCATCAAAGATGAGCATGTGCTGAATGAAGAGCTCCTCCTGCTGGTGATATCCAAAATTAGCACTTTTTCATCCATCAAGCTACACAGTCTACCCAGATGTATCCAGACACGCCCTCTAATTGGTGAATTCAGCTCCCCATTGCTGACACAGGTGTTAAATTGGGCACAAGCAGCTTGCATAATCTAGTTAAAAAAACACTGCTAACAGAATGGGGTTAGAGCAGCCGCTCTGGTGCAGCCACACATGTATAAAGTCAGCATGCACAATGCCATGTGTCAGGTAGAGGGGTATGAAGCCCCCCCAGCACTGTGGAGCAGTGAGACTGTGTTCTGGAATGATGGGGCACCATACTGTACCTCTGGGATGAGCTAAAGTGGCAGAACCAATTATCCAACATCAAGAGATGTACTAGTTACTAGTTATTAGAAATGAGTCCCATGTTGAAAAAGTTCCTACTCCGTATTAATACCCTTGATTTCAGAAAAAATGTGAAATGAGCAGATGTCTACAAACCTAGAACACACAGTGTGCATCCTGTCACTCACAGCAGTTCAACAGTTTGCTTAAAATGTACAACACTGATGTCACTGGTAAACATTTTTAATTTCTTATGAAAGTTAATTCAGTCCTGAATTTCATAACACACTTTGTAGAAAAACACAGCAAAAAGATCTATGTTCGAAATATCCCGTATGCTCCACATGTCAACAGGCATCTTAGAAAAAAAAAGAAGGCACACACTTTCCTCAGTGCATAGAGGCTAGAGAGCAAGAATGGTCACCTCATCTCTGAGAACAGAAACAGTTCACTGAGGTGACCATGTAACTGCTCCATAATACTTATTCATATTGACTGTAACAGGAATCTCCATTTTCAAATGCTGCATCACAATTTAAACTGATAATGGACTGTGTTAAGTGTGAAGTATTTCTGAATTTGAACATTGCTAAGGGAGTGAACTGTATTGCAGCAAAGTGAATGGCTTCTACAGTTCGTCGTGTTTGTATGTGAATTCTCGGGCGGATATAAAGCCATCCTCATCCTCGTCTTCTTTCTTGAAGATGTCCTCCACCATGGCCTCGTGATGGGTGTCATTGGCAGGGTATCCATGTCTCTCAAACTCCTTCCTCAGATACTCTTTCACCTGAAACAAGACACCTTTAGTAGGTTACTTCTGAAACACAAAATTTCACAGTTTCACACAGGGTTTGTTGCTGTTCAGTTCATGTTGAATGAATGTATGTTTTTTTTGGGCTGAATGAGTGTTGATTGGTCTAGTTACTAAAATATGAGCATCAAGCTGCATATTTTGATATTACACACCTCGGCTTTGGAGAGCTTCCAGTCATCATTGAGATCCATCTCCTGGAAAGACTCATGTGACCTGGGGCCATTCCTTATTTCCATGACCTCGATGTCAAAAATCAGGGTGCTCTCTGGTGGGATTTTCCCTAAAAAAGGCAGCACACAGGGTCACAATGTTTATAAGCAAAGTTGCAGTTGTATCTTGCTTTCCTAAGCCATTCTTTTGGAATTGCATGATGACTAATGTGTACTGACAGTGTATTACCAGATATTCAAAGACACTCAAACTGCTTTGAGCACAAGCACTCCCTGGAAGCCCCACCTTTGCCCTCCTTCCCGTATGCCAGAGCTGGGGGGATGGTTAGCTTCCTCTTCTCCCCTGCACACATGTTCTGGAGCCCCTTGTCCCAGCCCTTGATCACCTCCCGGATCCCCAGTGTGAACCACACTGGGTTCTTATCTCCATGATGACGGCTTCCGAGAGCAGAACAACACATGTACCATGAGGAATCAGTGCACATTCACTGAACCGCTGTAGTTAATTTAGAAGCCCATAAACACTGCAATGAACATGCACTGCTTATTATATTACTGAGGCTGTTACTTACATTATTCAAGTGACTAAAGCTCAGAACACTGCACTGTGTATGAATAACATGCATTAAAGTTATTTAACTCGATTACACTAACGTAGTGCATCATGCAACAACTCGTTACCTGGAGTGGAACAGGGTGCCATTACTCTCCAGGAATCCCTCATAGTGTACTAAAAGTATATCCCCGTATTTTGATTTTCGGTGACACAGAAAAGGCTTGTACAAAACTTCTATTTTCACCTCCGGCTCCGGGAGTTTTGCTCCATTGACACAGAAAAGTAATGCAGAGAGAAAGCACAGCTCCAGGATCATCTTCACTCTAATAACGGCCAGATATCTGACCTCCTATAATGAGGGCGATGTCCTCTGAACTACCACGTAGAAAAAACAGCGGTGTAACCAGCGAAACGTCGAAACGCCTGCAGCCAATCGCACCGACTACGTGGCATCGCAACTTTTTCTAAAGACTCTTCTCAGTCCCAAATATTCCCTTGCGTAAAAAACAGATCGCCATTCGCCAAACGGTCACTGCCATTGGCTGAATTCGCTGGAGGATCCGCCTTAGAGCGGAATACTACGTGTTTATTGGAGCGCTGTTGGCGTTGCCAACGCAAGGCCACGCCCACACAAACTGACCGCTTCCAATCAGAGAACAAGGTTCGACCGGCACGAGTTTAAAGGGAGCCTGAGCACTTCATATTTCTCCCTTTATCTCAAAAACATGACTGCAAAACGCCAGAGGGCGCCCGCGAGCGAGTCCTCAATGAATGGCTAAAAGTGAGCTATACGGCTAAAAACGAAAAGATAAAATAGTCTCTAACCACTTGTTCAGGACCTTCCTTTAATTTTATAAAGTAGAAAGTATATATTTCACAAAATAATCTAAGAAACCTTACCTGTGTTGTTTCTTTTTTTCTACAACCAACGAGTTTTAGGCAGCAGGACGCTAGCATTACTGCTACTGAGTGCTGATTGGTTGGCATTACTGCTATTGTGTGCTGATTGGTTTGCATTATTGCTACTGAGTGCTGATTTGTTGGCCAGCTGATCAGCTCATTGGCTGAGTGAAGCTGCTGGCGCTCACTGACATCATGATCATACATTAGGGCACGCTTATACAGTCCTGTAACTGTACAGTTTAAAAGCGCTCAGCGGTGTTAACAATTGTGTTAAAATATTGCGTACGGTTCTGTGTTCAGGAAATGAATCAATTCTTTTATATAAAAAAAAATTTAAGCATTTACAAATTATGATTTTGCTCAAAAGCTCCAGATTCACCCATTCATTGTGTCCTCCAGCGTCTGACAAACCCGAAAGACATTACTGAGTGGCGTATCTCCTCTCTGCACTTTCTTTGGTTAACCAACGAACAATCCGTATGACGTCACTCGGACGGGCTTATCCCTGTGTGATCATATGGATCGGTATTCTCGTACGCAGTGTGCGCTCTCTGTAGCCGGAATCTAAAATTACGGACGAGCCTCTGTACATTTTCAGACTACGGGTTTCGTACCGAAGAGTCGTCTAGCCGCACTCGTTGGGGAGCGTCTCGAAATGAGCCGTCCTTAGAGACGCTGATATGGAGGGAGTTCTGTATAAATGGACCAATTATATAAGTGGTAAGTTGCGTAGTTCGCTCTTAACTAAAGCCGAAATGTCAGACAGTCTTAATGTTTTCCGAAGTTGGCCACGGGCTAACGTAGCTAACGTAAACAGCCTCAGCGGAGGCTTGGTAAGTAAGTAGCTAAGGCTTGGCTGTGTCACCACGTAACAGCCTGCTATCCGACCAGCTAGCTAGCTAGTTTATTTACGGGTAGTTTATTATTTCATTCTGCACTTCTGCTCTCTTCTGTCTCATTTAGTTGTTCTAAATATGCCGGTGTTTACGAGCCTGAAGTTGGCTTCCTCTTCGCCAGCTTCTGGTTCGAATGTTCCCGTTCCACCTTAAGTGGTGCAGCGGTTACATTCTGGCTGTTGCACCATTTAAGGCGGAACGGGAAAATTCGAGTAGGAAGCCAACTTCAGCCTCGTCCGGTGTTTAGGGTTTGCGAGGCGATATAGGGTTTTGTTAAATGTGTACCGGTCAGTATAGGCAGCTGTAGCTTTCTGTTTAGCTGGTCAGCAAAGTTTGGAAGATTTATTGGAGGTGCTAGCTCATATGAGCTGGATGAGTGGCCACAGTAGTTAGCATGTAGTGCTAAATGTTGCACTCTGTGATGAAGTTATTGATGAAGTTGTAAACTAGTCACATGAAACCTGCGTCAACGAGCTGTCATGACTGATGACTGATTCACATCACCCAGCTGGAATGAAAACTGAATCAAATCGAACTGAGAGCAAATAAAGTAGATCTGATACTGATTTATGTGTCTGTGTGACTGTTGTTAAATAAGACATGGCCATCCTCTAACGTTACACTGCCAGCAGCACTGTGAAGCTCACAGTCAATGTAGTGCTGGGCAGCTTTGATCAAAGCTTTGATATCATAATGCTTTCCAAACATATCACAGCATAAAATGATCATTTAGACTGCATTAATAAGTCTAATGAGCCCTTGCTTTCATTATGAGTGCTAAAGAATGTCTTACACACCTGAAATGTTTTATGTTCTGCTTAAATGAAATGATACCAAAGCAAACCTTACACATCACTGTAACCTGAGAGTTACTACCAGTCCGTGGATTTTCAGTTATCCTTTCAAAACAGCTTGAAGGCCCAGCAAATGACACAAATTGTAGTTAACTGCCAAGTCCTGGATGCCATGAATTGCACAAAATAGGATTTAAAATGCTAAAAGCAATCCTGTTGGCAACAGAGACAGGGCTATTTAATGAGTCATGGATTTAATGCTCATTATCTATCAAACATATCACTAAAAATATCACTAAATTTGAAAAATGCTATTGCAGTATGTTAACAACATGATGTACTGGTATAAACAATATATTGCTAAGCACTTATCAGTATCTAATTACTGTTTATTACATTTTAGAATAAATGACGGTTGTCTTTCCTCTCTAGGTTGGCAGCCTCGCTGGTTTGTGTTAGCTGGAGGCACACTTTCATATTATGATTCCCAAGAAGATGCTTGGAAAGGATGCAAGGGCAGCATCAAGATTTCTGTGTGCGAAATACAAGGTAATATAAAGAGGTCAATCAACTTTTGCAGTAATAATTCAAGGTTGATTTCATCATCAGTTATTGTCTTGTGTGATTAAGACTAGGGTTCCCACCTACTGTGAACTCTCACATCGTTTGTTATTGTGCAGTGTAAGTTCAAGGTTTGCTATGACCTTAGATTATCTTGTACTACCCCTAACATTATTTCCTGACAGTTACCTACTGCCTATCTCTTCTCTTTTTACTCCAAAACTCTTTACAGTGCACCCGACAGATTTCACAAGAGTTGATTTGACCATACCAGGAGAGCAGTACTTCTACCTCAGGGCAATCAATGCAGCAGAGAGACAGAAATGGCTGGTAGCTTTAGGAACTGCAAAAGCCTGCCTGACAGACAACCGGACCAAGAGAGAGAAAGGTGAGCTATGAATCTCCTAGAATTTCTGAATCTTTATTACTCTGTATGTTTTCTCTGACTTAAGACTGCATATCTTAGGCGAATGAAAACAGCAAAGCTATGATAATTCTTGATGAGCCTTATCTTCTGTTGTGACTGTGTATGATAGGAAAAATGTTTATTTAAACATATTCTATCTCTCTTTCTACTCAGAGCTCCAGGAGAACACAGAGACACTAAAAACAAAGATGTGTGAGCTGAGACTATACTGTGACCTTCTTCTCGAGCAAGTGAACAAACTCAAGGAGGATCCTCTGGGTGAGGGGGCAGCTGGCTCTGCAGAGGTAAGTCAGTCTTTGTGAGTGGTTTTCTGCTGGAATCCTCTTGGGAATGCAAAGGATTAGAACTAGTAATGCTTTCTTTTCCAGTCCTTTAAGTTCTAGGTATTAACCAGGTACAAAATGTAGGTACAAATTCCAAAGTACTAGATAATTATTTTGAGTAACATGATGGTAAGTTCCAGGGCAGTCTAACTAAATTAAACTGAAATGCTAAACAGATTCCAGGTATTGACTGGATAAGTACATGGTACAAACTCCAAAGTGCTATTTGTATTTTGTGCCTTTATACCTTATAAACAGCTTAGAAGCTGGAACCTATTAATCATGTCAGTGTAATTTGGTTTGGCTGTCTTGGTACTTGCCATCATTTTACCTGAATTAATTACATGGCACTTTGACAGTTTCACCCCACACTTAATTAATATCTAGAACCTGTTAGTTATTTCAGTGTATTTAGATAAACTGTCCAATAACATATGCTCTTGTTTCCCAAAATAATTATTTAGTACTTTGGAGTTTGTACCTCACACTTACTTGGATATTAATACTTAGAAGGACTTAAGAACCAACTTGAAGAAAAAAGTCTGGATAAAAATGTGGCAAAGGATTAAGGACAACAAATAAAAAAGAACAATAAAAATGAATACATTTGAAAACATAATAAGCATAATGGGCTGACATCCTATCAGCTTCTTGTTACTGTGTAATTTCTGCAGGTGTTTTTCACTGATTGTTGTTGCTGTTGTTGTTGTTGCTGTTGTTGTTGTTGTTGTTGTTGTTTACAGGCTGTTTATAATTGGTGTAAATCTTTTTTTGATGTGTTCAGTGTCTTGAAATACTGACGATAACCACAATATATAGCGTGCTGTTTTTCTAAAAACAGTGGTATCAAGAATATTTTTTATTCATTTCACATGTAATGCAATAAAACTGCCTAAACAGCACTAATTATGCTCTCTTTGTAATGAAACATTCAGTCAGTCAGTTTTACTTTGGTACTGACAGTATCTGTGATATCCTCAGAAAAGCCTATTTTATTATAATGTGATGGAATTTATCACAGTGTAAACATCAGTGATAAATATCGATCCTTAATGATGACGTAGAATAACATAATAATAACTGAGAGTATGTTGATATTGTGATGCATTAAACTACCTGTGTATTTCTGAAATTCACCATTAAAATGTCTGTGTTTGTTTTGTGTGGGGGGCTCAGACAGGGGATGACACAGGTACTCTGGTAAAGTCTACATGCACCACTTTTCTGAAGACGCTGGAGGAGTGCATGCAGATTGCCAGCCGAACCTTCAGTCCGGACCTGCTGAGCCACAGTCCACCAGGGTCACCACCTGTCGCTGCTGTCAAACCTCAGAAGGTGTTTATGAAGATCTACATCAAAATCTTATTCATTATGAAGTTATAATCCCCTGTTTAGAATATCTAGGGTGAATATATTTTGACTGTGCTCTTTATTTTAGTATTAACGACGACTCGTCTCTGAAGGTGTAATTTTTTATGTCTTGTTTTTTGTCCTGCAGATCAAACCTCTTAATCAAACAAGTCACAATTCAGAGGAAAAGTAAGTTGAATGTGTCTCTGTTTTGGGTAAATATATTTGTACTGTATCTGGACTTTCCAGTACTCTCCAGTTTAAATTCACCCAGCATTTCTGAACTGTTGAAAGGCTATCACTCATTATTTTGTATTTGTTATGCAGACAGAGGGGTTTGGTAAACAACTCATCTAGAGCATCAGCACAAGAGTGTGTGGAGAGTAGACCAGAGCAGGAACCCCCTTCACCTCCACCAGAGAACACATCAACAGGTAAACCACACGTTCAGTGCTCATATGAATGCTGGATTCAAAAGTCTTACTGATTGTAAGATCACACTGACGTCTTAGATTGTGTGCTCACATAGTTTAATGTTAGGTGTAAATTTCTGTAAAACCTGAGTTAGTTCGGGATGTCCTTGTAAGTCTTCATCAAGGTCGAGTAATACGATATATGATATGTTATCATTGTTGTGACAAATGTCACAAAACCATTTTTATATCTTGGGTATTATCAGTACTTGTAGAGGCCTCAATTATAGAGTGCATATAAACATCAATAACCAGTGTATAGTAACTGCAGTTACTATACAGTTTATGCAGCTGTTATACACTGGTTATTTATTTATTTATTTATTTTTATTGGCAAACATTTATCATTGTACTCAATTTTTCATTTCCACTTTGCTGGTGCATTTTTTTCATTCCAGCTTGTTTGTAAACCTCAGACAAACTAGATGTTGTGATAGCATAACATGTCTTTGTTATGTGTATAATGAAAAAAAAATATTGTGATGATATATTTTTGCCATATCGGCCACACTTATCTCCATCCTGATCCTCCTTTGGTTCTAGTTTTTATCATTCTATAGTTATATGCAAAAGTTTGGGCTTCCATGGTCAAATTATGTTTTGTTGAATTTCTAAGTGAAAATAAGTTAACACATCCCCTCAAGAGAATGCATTTCTGCATATTTTAATGCACAATTACTGTTTATTTGCTGAATTTTTAAAAAGAAATCTGTACAGTGTGGCATGCACCACAGCAAATATATAGAAACTGTGCACTAAAGTTTGCTGAAAAATGCCATATTTATGTTTGTTCTCTGTAGAGGATGTGCTAACTTTCACTTTTGACCAGGGGTTTTCAAACTTTTGCATACACCTGTATGTCTAATCACTATTTAACAGGGAACAGCCTCATGGAGCAGGAGAATAAGGACATAGCAGAGGTCCAGGATGCTCCTCACTCTAGCACACAGGGTCCTGCTGAGGATGAACGTCCCAGAGAGGAGGCAGGAGAGGATGCACGTTCGGATGAAGTAGATCATGCCCAAGAGGAAGTCCTGCCTAGCTCCAGACAGAGCAAAGAGCAACAGGCCAGTGATCAAAACAAAGCTGTCCCAGAAGCAAATGAGCTCGAGTCACAGGGTAAACAGGAAGAAGATCAGGTGGAAACATTCTTCAGTAGTATGAGCCACAGGTATGAGGAACCTCTGCCGCTGTGAGCTAGAGAATTGACATGTACTGACTAATTAACGTATGCATATGTAGATTCAGGACGAAATTACAGAGCATGTCATGTAGCATAGATCATTTTCATGCAGTAAGAAGTAATATTCACCATGCTGGGGTTCATCTAATCAATGCTGAATACTAAGGAAATGTATCAGTACTACTAAAGAGGTAGTATAGATGTAATAGTTTAACATGGAATTGATCAGTCTTACAATTATCTGAAAGTCTTCATCAGAAACAAACATTTCAATGCAGCAGTTACAGAGATTGGTTTTGGAGGATAGCGTGTGAATGATCAGGTGTTCATGTTAGTGTGTTTTCTCTCACATTACTCTGAAAGCGAGGCCCTGCCTGTCGTAATGGGTTTGTAGAGCCTTTTTTATTACACTCTGCTCTTCCTTCTGCGATAATGAAATTGTCAGTATTACACCATTATACTCTTACTGTACTAAGAGTGAGTCTTAAACAATATTTCAAATACAGTTGTATGCAAAAGTTTGGAAACCCCCCAGTAAAATAACTTGTTTTGCTGAATTTCTAGGTAAAAATAGATTCACGCATCATCTACAGAGAACAAACTTAAATATGGCATTTCTTCTGTAAAGTATTGTGCAGGATTTCTATTTGTTAATAAAAATTGAAACATAAAATGTGGCCTGTGCAAAAATTATGGCACATGTAATATTTTATGTTTTCATTTTTTCCCCCAGTATGTTAAATCAGTGTTTCTCAACTTGGTCCTCAGGGCCCATCAGATGGTCCACATTTTTCCTTCATCCCTGTGTGTTGTGAGTTAGGCTGAGGAACAAGCAGGGCACCACTGTGTTAAATGGATCAAGTTCTCTGTAGAGGATGAACTTATTTTCACTTAGAAAATCAACCACATGTGATTTTACCAGGGGTGTCTGAACTTTTGCATACACTATATACTGTGAACTGTTACCAAAGCAATATTGCATTCATTCAATATGGAGTACAGAACATCCATAAACAATGTCACAAAGTTATTTATTTATACGTGAGTAACTTGTAACTCATAAATATAGATTTTGGTGCAGATTTTTAGACATTCTTCAGAGTTGTGACTCAGATCAGAAAGGGCTGCATGGTTTTCTGCTTTTATGTTTCTTAAGTTTGCTTGAGTTACATGACTTTGCTTCAGCTGTATTCTTGTTGTTTTGAGTGTTTGTGTTCATTAAATAAACCCCTATCAAATTGGAATGTGCACTAATGCGCTGTCTTTTTCTGAATGTCTGTGGTTTTCCTTTCGTAGATTTAGTGATATAAGACTGGAGGACGGCAAAGGTATCCCCACACTGGCCTTTTTGGACTCTTGCTATGCTATAGTGCCAGTATTAGGTAGGACAGTTTCCTCCTTTGACTCTCTCCATCAATCCCATTTTCCTCCTTCCACCATCAAAGATCATTACCTGCTCTACCGCGATTCCCTTGTTTTTTCTTTTTCTGGCAGCATTTTTTCTCTTCCTTTTGACCGTTTGCTTCTTCACAAAGTCACTGCTGTTTTTGCTTCACTCTCTCAGTTTGCGGGGGGATTATGCATGCCTTCTTGTTTCACACATTGATGAGTAGGTACAGCTAATGTTAATGCGGGTATATGTGCAGAGCAAAGTATACAAAAGGCTTGAGGCACTTTTTGCTCCGAATAAAGACTTCAGCTCTGCAGTGTTCGCATTCAGTCAGTGGACTTTTTCAGCTTGCCATGGCCTGTTGCTTTGTTGTGAATGGAGCCGTTCCTGTCCAACCGTGGGAGCTTCATCAGCGTGCAAACTAATCATATATGTAGGTCTTTGATGTTCTAAATACTCAACAGCACAATGATCCAGACTTTTTCTTCTCAGACAAGCTGGGACCAACTGTCTTCGCTCCAGTTAAAATAGATTTTGTGGGCAACATTAAGGTGAGTAGCAACATCTTATCAGTCATCCAGTATATTTTGTTAAAAAACTAAATTTAGTATGATAAGGAAATTTGCCACAGAACTTCGGATTGGTCTAACGATGTAATTTTGTGTAGACATCTAACAGCACTCCCACAGATTTTATTGATTACGTGTAATTTTTGTACTTTCATTCAGAATTTAATTTGAAGTCTTTGTTGTTTTATTAAAAAAATAGATTAAAGATTAAAATTAATATGATAACATGATAATCTGATGAGGATCTAATGATAACATGATAATAATCTAACTTACTGCCCAATACCCACAAAATTACTCTGTAGTTTCCGCAAAAGTGGAAGAAAGTGGAATTCCCCAGTAATGTCTCATGTTTCCACTGAATCAACTTGCATTCTTTCAGAAGAACAATAATTTGCAAAATCCGTATATTGTCATTTGATCTGAAGGCCCTCAGGGGTTTACAGTGTGTATATACAAGCAATGTTATAGGTGTGTTTTGAGCTGTGATAAAAGACCCACATAGAATCAGGACAATGGTTTTGCTCGCAAAGTAATTTTAATCTTATACGAACCCAAGGGTTTCTAATTCCACAAAAACCTTCATGTATTATACGTATCACTATGGTACAGAAGGAAATCTCTTTAAAACTTCAGAAAGTGGTGGTCATAATTGAAAAATATTGTTGGCCACTTCATTGCAACATGTAAGAGAGTGTTGAGCATGTCATCTGAGCGAATTATCATAACAGCCACTAGGTGGTCTCAACACTGTCATGACATTCTATTAAAAAGGTTTTATTCTTAAGAGGAACAAAAGGTGATCAATCATTATATAACATTTTTTGTGATGTGGACAAAAGAAAACAATATTTTCAATGTCACAGTAATGTCATTTCGTTATACTGACTACAGCAAACACCAAAAAAAATCAAATATCTTAACATGAGTTTTGGTCATGGGAGCTTTCAAATTTGTGAAGATCTTTAATTCCTCCCTCAGAAAGTCCAGCAGAAGTTGCTGTCGGACCCTGACGCTTTTCCCACCCTGCAGAGTATCGTACTGCATGAAGTGGAGATGGAGGTGGCACAGGTGCGGAACTCAGCCACTGAAGCATTGCTGTGGCTCAAACGAGGACTGAAATTCCTCAAAGAGTTTCTCTCTGAGGTGAATGCAGGAGAGCAGGACATCCACGCAGCTCTGAGTGAGTAACGGGAGCAAATGCAAATACTTATTGTCACAGATTAGGAACATTGGGAACATAAATCAAGCTTTTCTGATAAATTGATAAACCTGTATTTGCCTGAAATCACGTTTTTTTAATGTGGTCCGCTTTTCAGAAGTTGTTTGTGTTGCTGATTACAGTTTTAAAGCACAATTGAATTCTTGATAAATCTCATAATACATGACTCTGTTTGAGCTCAGTCTGTGCATGCTAGAAAATAGCTACTGTTTTCTCTGGGTCAGAAACAACTTGGTTTCTCTAAACTATGCAGGTAAACAATTTGCATTGGTCTCCTGTTCATTGAATTGGCTTTGTTTTCAAACTTATCTGGCCAGAATGTTTTAACACGTCTTCCTGTAGCTTTTGGAAAAAAGTTGAATTTGTCAACCCTGACTGAATTTATGCTTATAGTAGGGGTGGGAATCTCTAGGCACCTCATGATTCGATTCGATTACGATTCAGAGGGCTGCGATGCGATTATAAAACGATTATCGATGCATCTCGATGCATCTTCATTTTCTAAATAGCATTTTTATTCTCTCACTGTGTGAGCTCAAGTTTCGCTGCTGCCACTCATCTGCGAAAAAATGCGCAGTTACGGTGAAATAAGATCCAGTGGCAGTGGATGTCCATGCGACACGTTACAGCCATCCTGCCCGTTTTCTTTAGTGATTTTATAACTTCGGTTTTGGTCCCGTTGTAGAGAGTTGGGGGATCGCTGTGTCAGTAAAATATCTGTTGTGCAACATAGCACGAAAGCCCTGTTTCGCAATGACTGAGAACCGGCGTGCAGACTGCAGGTCAGATAGCAGCGATGCGTTATTCGCATTTATAAGCACTGCAGTTGGTTTCCTGGTACGTTAAATCTGCAACGAGAGACTGTCACACAGTAAAAAGTTGTGAAGATGAAGTCAGCTTCTCTTTCGAATTCTCCCGTTCCACCTTAAATGGTGCCGCATTTTCATTCGGCGCCTCAGTTAGAATTTAAGGTGGAACGGGTAAATTCGAACAAGAAGCTGGAGAATAAGAAGCGACTTCAGCCTCGTAAAACAGCCGAACGTTGAGAGACATTTAACTGATCAACTTCTGAGGAAAAGTTTTCTGGCGGAGATGGGAGGAAAGCGGCTATAGCTAAAGCTTAAAGCACGGAAGAGTAAATCTGCGTTTTCGTTTATATTGTTTAGTCTATACTACGACATTAACACATACTGACACATACTGGACATTAAATGTTGCGGCTCCAAAGCTGGTTTGATTTTTGTTGAAAGGACAAAATGGCTCTTCTTATCATTTGTGTTGTGACTCCTGATCTAACCTGGCTTTTAATGCAGAGGGAGCCGGTCGGATTTCTCGCTCATCCAGTAGTGTTTTTGTTACGTGCTGCCGCAGACTGTCCGGGCGCTGCACTTCCAAGTTCCGCCCTTTGCGTTCCGTCAACATTACGTTATAAATTAAATATTTAGAAAATCTTTTTTTGACATTTGTGAATCGATTCAGAATCGTTCACATCCGCATCGCGACGCATCTAAGAATCGATTTTTTCCCGCACCCTTAGCTTATAGTCACCAAAAGATGACCTAATAATCTGGGCTTAGTTTCCCGAAGCATCTTAGCACAAAGGTGACTCTTAAATGGTAGGGTAGAGCGAGCACACTGAACACTCTCTCTTCCAGGTAAGATGATCTTAAGACTAAGATGCTTTTGGGAAACTTGGCCCTGACTGTTTAAGTTCTCTTGTTCCTCTTGTTCTATTCTGTAGGAAGTAGTCCGAATTCTGTGAGCACTATTGCTGCATACACTGACCAATTTAAAAGACCAAATCCACAAATTCTTGTTAAAACAATGGCCATTACAGTGTGATTCGTCCTGTCATTTTAATGTTTCAGGAAACCTAAGTGCCCTTTCAGTAAAACCTTTGCCAGTAAAGCTGTCAAACCTTGTTGTGTAAAGCAATGGATTACATTGTTTAAGGGCTGAAGTTAGGCAGGACTAAAACCCCCTTAACCATGGAAAATCTATGTAGCTCATGGTCTCAAATGGCTTTTTGCCTTTATTCCATGAACAGCACAATGGTAATACCTTGGCACATTAACACAAAACTGAGAAGATGTGTGCTTTCACAGGTGTGTATATTGAGTATTTCACGACAGCTTTGAACATGGCTTAGCTAGTCAGATTTCAGAACTGAAATTGAGTGGTCTAAATTGAGTGGTTCGAACAGTTGTTCTTTTTACCAGACAATGCCTATGGAAAGACACTACGCCAGTATCATGGATGGGTTGTCCGGGGAGTTTTTGCTGTAAGTACTATAAACATTTAATTTCATTTTCTGCTTACACATACACAAACCTGAGCTCTAAACATACACCCTGACTGCTGTGTGTGTTGTATGCAGCTGGCTCTGAGGGCCGCTCCCTCCTACAGTGGCTTCATGGCAGCGTTGGTGTCTCATGAGGGTGATGAGCTGAAGGAGGGTTTTACCACAGGCATGCAACGGGACCTAGCCATCTATCTGCCTGCCATGGAGAAACAGCTGGCCATCCTGGACGCTCTGTATGAGGAGTACAGCCTGGAGTCTGACGAGGTGGTTTGAGCCACTCACCAACACATGCATACAGACAAAAACAAGACAGAGCTCATGGCAGTCTTGGCTAGGCGTTGTCTTGGTTGCAGTGATCAGTCTCTGGTGTTTGAGAGCCTGATTCGGTGATACTTACGCTGCTGAAAGAAGGGGCTTGGTCCATATGGATGAAGCAAGCACTGCAAGAATACTGGGCTTCTACAAATAGCAATATTGCCCTGGTCCCATACGCTTGAAGGTGCACTCACCTAAACTCTTAAAGGTGGCAGAGGGCCAAGATTTGTACGTCTCATAGACTGTGATGATTTTTCAGGGAACAGCGATTTTTCAGTAACCTCCATGGTGGTGGTTGAGTGCTCTGAAGTTTGGTCACTGGGTTCTTTTTGATATACCTATGACCATCAGAGGATGCTATGAAATGCCATTTTTAAAATGTTACAGCAGTTTTTTTTTATGCAAAAACATGCACATCTGTGGTGAGTATACAGAGCAGTCAGTAAGTATACAAGCCACAATATTTGTATTTGTGCTTTGCATGCAGTATTTATTAATACCCTTATCATTTTGCTCTCACAAGATCATATTTTTCTTTGACCACCACTACATACCATATTCCATAGACAAGCACAAATGAAAAATATTTGACTGGGATTCAAACAAAGATCCAGCATTAATCTTAAGCAGCAGTTCAACATGCATGACCTAAAGGATTGCTCGATAGATTCTAGACTAAAGGCTGCAAACATTGGACAAAATAAAAACATTATATTCCCAAAGTACACAGGAAATCTTTAGATCGGCCGTAAGGACCAAAGAAAAAACAATGGAAAAAATACAAACTGTCTAAACCTTTTTGAAGTTATCTTAATCATACTTTTCCTTTAGCACATTTTATTCTGTTTTTTTTTCTTAATAACTTTTATTTATTAAATTATTTACGTAAATAAGAATTAAGAGTAGATTTTATTCTAAGAATTATACCATGTTTACTCATTAATGTAGCCTAATGAACAATTCTGTGCATGTTGTATTGCATGGGTTCGGTTCATTTTTGTGTCAACTAAAGAAGAGCCCAAATTTAAATAACTTACTGATTTATTAATGTAGCCTTCTGCCCGATGACTGCTGGGATAGGCTCCAGCTCCCCCTGCAACCCAGAAGGATAAGGGGTTAGAAAATGTGTGTGTGTGTGTGTGTGTGATTATTAATGTATTGGCTAATTAGCCTTATAGTTTACATAAATGCCTGCCTGCCTTGGCTGTGCAGTGCTGAGTTAGAAATCAGAGCTCTGCCTGTTTCAGGTGGGATGAACAAACAACTCCATGCTTATTGCTTAAGAAATTCAAAATTTCTCCAAAATGGATTTGTACTCAATAATTGTACAATATGTACTTCAGCAAATTACATTCCATTTATATGTATGCTTAGACTCAGTGGCCACTTTGTTAGGTGCATCTACTTTATAGCTGTATCTTATAGGCAACTATACTTTTCCTATTTTGAGTTGGAATCCACACATTTTGGTACCACTGTTGTGCTCTGAAGTTGGCTCACTGGTGGTTGACTTTGTGTGTTTTTCCATGAATTACCTGTTCTGACAACAGGGAATCTTCTCTGTAGGTACATTTAAAAAGGTATATATAGATATTTTTATAAATACAAGTATAAAGCTACAGCATGTGATGCAATGCATTTGAATTTAGTCTGTATTATACTTAATCAAAAGACTTTTTACGGTAGCAGGAAATTAAATTGGTCCCTCTGAAATAAATAAAGCTGTGCTCTCCCCTTACATTGCTCATATTCTCTATCCTTGGTCACTGGTCTACATTTTTAGCAAGCACAGGGCACCACTGACTAATTTGTCTTTCACAGAAAGGGAGGTATATCTATTAAGGTGCCATTCAGTTGATACTTTAGCTATATTTGCTTGCATATATGTTTGCAAAAATAGTATTTACAAATGCATTTTGAAGTTTATATTTAAATCAGGCCATTCATGAAAGAGTAAAAGTAAACTTTTGAGTACATAATTTGTACCAAAATTGTGTGGATTAGAAGTTTAGAATTTTCTCTTAAAAAGTACAGAAGCCTATATATTTGGTGGAGAAATGAAACTGTCGGTGTAGTCTACATGACATGTTGGTTGCTTTATGTTTTGTGAAATAGATCAAAGTACATTCCAGTAGAAACGCACCATGACTGTGAACAAAGATTAATGACTATGAATGGACATAGCCTTCAATCCTAAGATGTTAGCGTTTATAAACATCTCTACAATATCATGGCCACTTGAATTATTTCCATGCATATTGAAAGGACAGAATGGAGGACTTGTCAAGTCAGCATTAAACAAGCACATTTCTTTCAAGCATGTTGTTTTCTTTCAGTGCCAGTGTAATGTCACATCAGGACTTCTCTATTCATGACATGCCATAGATCCCAGATACTGTTGCATTTTCAATGGTCTTAAAGTGCACTTTTGGAATGCTTAGTAAAGTCGAGAAAAAAAGCAGGTTGATGTTACATCGAAATTATCAGAGAAATGTAATCCATCAATGAGATAAACGGATTCAAAAGAAAAATTACAAGTTCTGGCGTTTAGTAGTTTGTGCACCCTTCCTTTGTTAGGGTAGCAGCACTAGGTCTTCTCTTGTGATGCTGGCTGAGGTAGGACTGAACACATGCAAAATAACCTGAGGTTATTCTTTCATGCAAGATCTCTACAAATGCTTTAAAAGCATTGGTCCTCACTTGTGGATTCTTTGCTTCAGCTCCACCCACAGGTTTTCACTGGGGTTTAGGTCGGAAGACTGTGATGATATGATGGTACTCTGTGATTGTATCTGAAAAGAAAATCTTATCCACAGCAACACATTCACCACCATACTTCACAGTGCAGAAACGGCTCTTTTCTGCATTTCCTTCAATCTTTTTATGCCAGACTCACCTCTGTGTTGTTGCTAAAACTTAGAGCCTAATTCAATTTCTTTTAGCATGCCTTCCAAATAATTTAATTTAACTAAGGTCACATTTGTTTGGTGCATTTGATCATTGGAGAAATCCTTAATCCTTGCTTTTCAACCATCTTCCTCATTGTACAAGGGAGCAAAATACACATTCATCCTCTTCTATTCAGAGTTGTCTCAGCTCCTGTTACGTCCTAATTAATAATAGTGGAGATGGGTCTTTCCAGGTGTGAAACTATGTTTTTTTTTTTTAAACCCAGTCTGATTTATGAAGATCAACAAACATGGTCTCATTTAATTTGTGTATTATCTGCTCTTCCTCATGTTGATAGATAGTTAATGGCATTTGGGTTGTGTGTTGCTTCATATTTATATATGAATGAAACCAGAGGTATAAATCCAGGCAATCATGGATGACCAGTTCAAGTGTGTTTAAAAAAGATGAAATGGTAGCATGTGTCACTTAGATTCTGTTCAGAAGAATGTTTGTTAGTTATACTGATATTTTTGTATGAATGTTTTTTTTTTTTTCTGTTAGTAAGTTACCTAACTGAAGACTCCTCTAATATTGTCAGTGTAAGATCAAGCAGATAAACAACAAAGACAAATATTCATGGTCTTTTTGCCCCGTCATCATTATCAGAGATGCCAGTAGTTCTCGAGGGTGCTGTTACCCAGTGTTAAAACACTATGTTTATATATTACAAACTTTCCTATTCATACTGCACACCCAGAAATGCATTTTTCCATAAGAATGTATTAAAAGTTTAAAACACACCTGTTAGTGTATTCTCATTTTTTTTTTCTAATTAGTGGCAAAATGAAAGGCCAAGGCAATTTTTTTGTTCACATTGATTTTGTATTTTATATGGAAATAGGAATCCTGTATTGTCGTAGTTATGTTATTACTTAATAAATTATGTTAAGGAGAGCTGTGTGAACAACTAACTATTGACTCTTAGTACTTTTATTGTTTAAACTTTTTAAAGTGCATTTTAACGTAAATACTTTTGTACACAATATATCAAAATCTTGCTGGTAACTGTTGATAATAGCTAAAGAAAAAAAACATCAGCATCAGACAGATGTTTCAATTTGATATTTTAAACTAATATTTGATCACATATTTATTGAACTCTGTAAGAACAGAACATTAGGTGATGCTGGGCTGCTGAGCTAAAACATTTACTTCTTATTAATTTGTAACCCTACAGAGATAAACTTTATGAATCTATTTGTAATGCTACTCCAGCTAGATGTAGTTCCAATTTATAAACATTTTATAAATGTTAATGAATCAGCAGGCACATTCATGAGGAACATTGGATATCAGCTGGGCCCACAATACTATATTCACCATTGTAGAAAACAAATCCCTATACTAAATTATCAGTAAAAATTCAAGTTCAGTTGTTTAAAAGCCAAAAAAATCTGTATGCATTCTTATAGATGTGTATGAGTGTGTTCCACTGTCACCATGACACTCAGTCTTTCAATATGTCTGCATGCGGTTGCCAGGTTGCATAACAAACAAAAAAGGGTCACTACCCCCAATAATGGGGTCCAGGAATAGAAGGATTGTGTGTTTGTAAGGGTGAGAGAGATGCACAGCTGTTGCCCCATGCACCTGTAGTTAAGATTATCACCTTTCTCTGCTTGACAATCAGGGAGAGGCCTCAGATGCAGCTCTGACAAAATTCAACAGAGTGAATGATTGGGGGGCCTGCGATTCCATTTGTTAAGGTCTTACATATAGCTCTGCTGTGACTAAATTTACTGTAGTTGTAAGACAAAAATAGTGTGGACTTCACTGCAGGGCTTGAAGGTAAGCACATTACATTCCGTACACAGTGGAAACACTTTTACTATGTGACCTTATTCTGCTCTGCGAGAATTCCTGAGTGTTCATCTATGAAGACGAGTTTGGAAACACTGTGGAGAATGAGCTGATGGAAGTGCATGGAATGAGCCCTAGAAAAATCTAAATCAACACATCTTCATTAACAGTTCGGCTTGCATACTGATAGGGCCTTACTGAATGTTCTGAGGACTTTCTGTGTGAACTATCATCTGCAGGCTGAACTGATAAGTGTGTAATGATCCAAAAAAAATAAAAATAAATAAATAATAATAAAAATATATATATATATAGAGAGAGGTATTATATTTGGTATTGGTAAAAGTTACTTATTGTAGCAGTAAGCAATTTTGCTTAATAAAAAAAGCAATATTCAAATAAAAACAAATGAAATCAATACTTTTTGTAGTAATGTTATAAGTCAATGTTTACCCATTTTGAAACCTCTCCTTGAATAAGCCCAGTATTATTTGTAGTTATCATTCATATTTGGCTAATTAACACTTCTGTTAATTAAATCAAGTGTGCTGATGATTCTGGGGACATTGCAGAAAAATCTAGAACCAAACCTGTTAATGGTTGATGTAGCATTAGGGGTAATACTGCTGCTCTCTATACAGCAGATGGAGGTATAATTCCCCACACAGGTAAGCACACCATGCTATACCAGTTAGACTCCTAATGCTACATTTACGTACACCTAAAATGTTTAAATTGTAAGTTGCTTTGAATAAGAGCATCTCCCAAATGCATTATGATAAATGTTCTTCTTACTAGTTCAACACCTATCAAATACTTTTAATAAAAGAATAAAATTGTTACTGGTGAGATCAGCGATGGGCGGCACGGTGGCGCAGTGGGTAGCGCTGTCGCCTCACAGCAAGAAGGGCCTGGGTTCGATTCCCGGCCGGGTGACCAGGGTCGTTTCTGTGTGGAGTTTGCATGTTCTGCCCGTGTCTGCGTGGGTTTCCTCCAGGTACTCTGGTTTCCTCCCACAGTCCAAAAGCATGCAGTCAGGCCAATTGGACATGCTAAATTGTCCCTAGGTGTGAGTGTGTGTGGATGTATATGTCTGTTTGTCTGCCCTGTGATGGGCTGGCGACCTGTCCAGGGTGTATCCTGCCTTCTGCCCGATGACAGCTGGGATAGACCCCACCGCGACCCGGAAGGATAAGCGGTTTAGATGATGGATGGATGATGGATGGATGGATGGAGATAAGCGATTTTAAACAGTTTGCTGGAGTGCCAAACTTGGCCCAGTTTCCCAAAAGCATCTTGTTGTTAGGATCATTTTAAATGGTAGAGAGAGTGTTTATTGTGATGCTCACTCTACCATTCAAGAATCATCTTTGTGCTAGTATGCGTTTAAGAAAACCCTGATCAGTAAACAGATGAATAATTGGTCTCTGAGTAACAGAAGAATGATCATTAGCACTTGAAATATTCATTTAATGCAAAGGTGGTAAAAATGGAGTTAAAGTGTTTGCATATGCCAGCAATAATATACAATACAGTATAAATAGGCAAATACAGAACTGAGACAAAAGGCTTTAACTCCCACTCGGACCACTTCATATTTGGTCAGTGTTCTGTTAGTGTCTTGTAGCCACAGGACTGACCTACTCATTAACAGTACATATATGTGGTTTATGAGTGTGGCAGTGTGTCCTCTGTCAGGCCACTGCACCTTGCATGCCTGTTATTCCATCCTATAGGTCAAGGCCTTTTCACTGGCTTTGAGCCAACAGCTGGCCCTGCGCGCTTCCTGTCTGTGAGGCTATCCGTTTTGGCAACCGCCGAAACGCGACACCCCACCTCAGCCTGAACTAAAATAATCTGGCTCTACAAGCCGGAGGTGGCAGCTGCCTTCCCCTCTTTTTTAATTTCAAAAGCTACACCAGCTCATCCCTGAGTTTCCATTGTGCCTTTTCAGCTATAGTAAACAATAGTCAGCATCAAGACATAGATCACTTTACAAAAAGTGCTAATCTTTGCTCTGAAGTTACATAAAGGTATTTTCCAAGTTCCAAATCATATTGCCTTGTGTTGTACAGTGAACTGAAAAAGGCATGTGTAAGCTCTAACCCGGCTCGTCTACAGACAAATTACCCTGATGTAATTAGAACAGGAGAGATATGGCTATGTAATACAGTTACAGAGCAGCGCACAGCCTCAAAAAAAAAAAAAAAACCTCTCCTTTCGCCCAGCCCTCCGCCTTCCTCGTACAAACACACACATACAGACACCAAGAGTAAGTCAAAAAGAAGCCATGACTCAGGTGTCCTGCTCTGAGGCTGAGCACATCACAGCAAGTTTTTTCAGTGACAGCTGCTGACTGGCCCTTGTTCAGCTTCTCAAGCTCATTCTGCTTCAGAACACTGACATGGCACTTTAAACACTGCAGGTCCACCTGCCCACGTGCAGCCTTTCCATCAGCAGGTCCAAAGCACCCGTGCTCACTTGGCAGTTTCTAGCTGGCTAAGGGTAGAAGCAGCAGCCTCTCGGCACATCTATGAGAAACAGCAGAGTTGCAAAGCACAGTCGTTCTCATAGCAAAACCATTTTTAACACCATTTGAGGCCACCTGCCCTTTGCATTATGTGAACATTTTATAACGAATAGATTAGTATAGATGGTCCAAGAATACTTGGAAATTCACATTACATTAATGCACAGTAAAGTTTTTTTTTTTGAAGAGGTTTTGTTAATACAGTGAACAAAATGTCATGCAGTACTGCCTCAACTCACTACCCAAATAAATGGCATATAAAAAGAATGTTTTTATATAAAAGTGATGTTTTTGTGTTTTCATTGTACCTAAGATTATAAAAAAAAAAGTATAATCTTAGCAAAAAGAGTTCAGTGTAGTGCCAAATAAAGGTTATATGACAACAGTGGAACCATTTTGCTATGATATAGAACCATTTTTCTTTGAAGAACTAGGTACAGCAGGGTCTCCACCACAGAGAATAATCATTTAACCATGGAAAGAACCACTGATACATTAAAACAGTTCTTTGAGTGCTTATGCTATATAGACTGGCAAGAAAATTATGTGTACCCTTTGTAATTATCTGCACTTATGTATTAAGTCATCTTAAAATATGGTCTGGTCTGACTAGAGTTACAATAGATACAATAAAGTTAGAATAAAGGACAAACTCAATCTACAATAAAGTTACAGTAAAGAACAAAATCTGTTTAATAACACAAAAATAGTGTTTATTCTTGTCCATATTGCACCAGCCACTTAAACAATTTGAGTTTGCTATTCACAAGACACATCAACTGATGTGAACCATACCTTGCAAAAGAAGATCTATGATCAATGATTCTTGATGTGCAAAAAGCTGGAGGAGGTTACAAAGTCTACAGTTAGACAAACTGACTGCAAACGTAGATGATTTAGTCTACTCTCCCTAGAAGTGGGCGCCCAGCCAAGATCACTCCATAGGCAGAATGCTCAATGACATAAAAAAAAACGTAAGAGTAACAGCTCAAGTCTTGAAAGAATCATTGTAATGGGTTAACATGTCATTAGTTCATGAGTGTAACATACGAAAAACAAGGAAGCTGCTGCACCCCTGAAGTTTGCCAAACAGCACCTTGACCTTCCAAAATGCAACTGGAAAAATGTTTTGTGGACTGATGGAACTAAGGTTGAATTGTTCATGAAGACCAAACAGCACTACGCATAGCATAAAAAGGGCACTTCATACTAAAATGAAAATGTCATCCCAACAGCGAAGTATGGTGGAGGGAGCATCATGATTTGGGTCTGCTTTGCTGCCACTAGGCTTGTTGCCATCACCATCATCATCAACTGCCACCATCGAGGGAAAAATAATTTCCCAAGTTTATCAAGGTATCCTACAGGATGATATCAGGGTCGCTGTCTGCCGGCTGAAGCTCAGTAGAAGCTGGGTGATGCAGCAGGACAGTGACCTTAAGCATCAAAGTAAATCACCTACAGAATATCTTAAATAAACATAATACACTCCTCCTTTTGGAGTGGCCCAGTCAGTGCCCAGACCTGAAATGCTTTGGAATGAACTCAAGAGAGCTATTCACACCAGACATCTGAAGAATACGGCTGAGCTGAAACACTTCTGTAAGGAAGAATGGTCCAATATTCCTCTTGAATGTTGCACAGGACTAATCCACAGCTACCAAAAGCACCGGAAGAACAAGGTTGCCGCCAAAGGAGGTTCAACCAGTTATTAAACCCAAAGTTTTTAAATCTACTGTTAATGTTTAATTGGTGTGCACAATAAAGACATGAAAGATTATTAGTGTTTGTGTGTTCTTAGCTTTAGCACACTGTGTTTGTCTGTACTTGTGACTTAGATGAAAGTCAGATAACACTTCATGATCAATTAATGCAAAAAACTAGGTAAATCCACAGGGTTCACATACTTTTTCCTGGCACTGTAAAACCATCATCTTTACTAAAGAACGCTTGAAGAACCTTTTAAAGGTGTAATAATTGGGAAGATTTCATACAATATTACTTTAAGCTTTATTTTGACCTTATTACAGGACCGTATCAAACATTAGAATTTTAATAAGAACTTGTTTACTCTCCACGTCACAATGGAACAGAACAGTCATCGCTACATTATGTCTCAACATGCAACTGCACCAGTGGATGCATACTGTGCCTTGGTGCCCTTCTGTATATAGTGCAATATACGATGTTAACATACTTCCTCAAATTGCTGGAAAAGAAGATAACAGTCCATGAGAAAGCTAAAGCACTTTGCTAACAGTCATCCCTGCTTCAACAAAAACAGTATTGAAAACTCTGCTCAGTACACTGGCAATAAAAACTATACACATACATTAAACCATTGCAGTACTGCATTCTTGATCTTTTCAGTGAGAGTATACAGTAACAATACATGCACCAGAACAATTTCAAGATACACATTAGATCTGTAGACAGGTTAGGTGTATTACCCCCAGAAATAATTAAGTAAGGAGAGGTCTCCATAGCAAATGCTGCTTATAGCTTATGGAAATATGTAGCTTACTGTATCAAAAATGTCATATACCACTTTAATACAAGAAAAGCAGACCAATAAGTACAATATATATTTATATATGCTACACTGACCATAGAGAGCGAAGGCATGCTACATGTCCAAACTCCACTTTTAAGAAATAAACAGTCATTAACTGGTTAATCATTTCAGGTTCATTCCAACAGTCTTTAGCCTACTAGGTAGCAGCAATGGACTTCCTCTGCCAAAGCTGACTGACAGTATAGAAATCCTTTATAACAGTTTGAGAGCCTTCACATGTGACACAGTTATCACCCAAAACAACCCTGGAGGCAAAATGGGGCTTTTTTCATTCATCATATCTAGAAGCATTAACAGCATACACATAGTATACAAAAGACAGCAACGTCAGCAATACCAGAAGAATCAGCTTAAGAATACTGGAATATGCCAGCCTTGCTCCACCTAGGGATAGAGGTGAAGAGGCTCTAATGATGAGAGGACTCTCTTCACCGAGTTCCTGAGGTATGAATGCGAATGTCTGGCTAAAATCTAACCCTGACCTTTATGAGACTGTAGTCAGAGCACCTACACATAACACTTCGGTCAAGAAGCATTAGTAGCCTAAGCTTGCTCAAATCTTTCTATTGTTTTCCATAGAGAGGGGCTTTTCTGACCTTGCAGCTCAGCTGATGTTTTTGCAGCCATGCGCTTGGCTTAGCAGCCCACCTGTCTGTGGAAAAGATCAACCTGCTGAGCACTAGTGTCATAGACTACGCTCTAAAAGAGCCAGCCTATTTAACCTAGAGCTTCTAACGTGATGCTTGGTTTCCAGATTTGGTCAAGGCCCATCCACTAAACTCTATGTATGCAGCTTTAAGTGGTTTTCTTTTTTTGCCTTGGATACATACCATAAGTAGCCTGTTGCCATAGCTACACCATTTTCAGCCCCATGCAAAATTTCTACAGTAAATTGTTCACATTGCAGTCCAGATACACAGCACCCTGGGCAAAGGACAGTGGGGTTGGACCACAGAGAAGATGGCCTTCTTGTGGAAAAGTTCTACATTGAGGTATTGAAGGGTCTGGCCTGGGCTGGTCTTTTCAAGACAGCAGGCTCTCCATGTTCCTCTTAGCGTGGCAAACCATCTAAGCAGAATGTTGAGCCAGGTGCCCAGCACCAAAGAGAGGAGGCTGATCGGAGAACGGCGTCTGAAATCCTGGTTGAGTTTTTAAGACAGAGAGCGAAGGGTCCTGTGCGTTTGCCATAACTGAGCAGACTGCTCTTTTCCCAGTGAGCTATGTGGCTTCTCAGCAGCTTTTCAACAAAGGAGCATAATATACATATTCTTATTAATTTCCCCATCAAATGTATTCTCATCACGCCCTTGGATTCTCGTTGTTTGCAGTGTCTTGGGTTACCTGGATCTTGTTCCCTGACGCTCAAACGAGACTGTGGGCTCTACTGTTGTTTTCCTCTTTTCTCATGTAAAATACTTGCAGTTTGTAGAGTCGATGAAGCAGTCGGATGTGCACTTAAGACGTCCGTATGTTCTGGAGAGAAAAAGATCACTCAGTCTTTCTCTGGATATCTAAAACAGTGGCACTATCAGTGGATTACATTGGAGAATGCTTGAGCAGGCACTTACCCAGGCAGATAAGATTTGCAGGTCTGATATCCAAAATCTTTTCCATCACACTCCTCAGCTCCCTCATAGCGATAGCCATCTCCACAGTACGCATGTCTACACTCTGAGAAACAAGAGCAAAGTTGAAGGAAGAAAGCAGACAGACAAACTAGTTTCCTTGAAAGGAAAGTGTCATTGAGAGGCCATACTTACTGACGCATCCGTCTGTGACCACTTTGTTTCCATCATCACACTCCTCTCCGTTCTCAACCTGCACAATGCCGTCCCCGCAGAAACCATCCATGTCTGGAGCATGCTCCATTGACTGGAATGGTGTCAGCTGCAATAACAAAGTCTTACAGAGTTTAGAAACTTAACCTTAAGCATTAATATGCTCTATTGTTATGCTCCCCAGCTGTAAGGTCCAAATGCTCAAATTAATAAATGTGTTACAAGAAACATATCAATAGGGTTGTACCTGAATTGGCAGCCACCCATCAATGTCCTTGAAATAAAGTGCTCTCTGGTCTTTGCGGAAAGCCAGTGCATTATCCGTGTGCAGACGGTCCAGCTCCTGTTCATTATTCACCACAAAAATCTGCAAGCAAAACACTTTCAATCAATAATTTATGGTTTAGCACCAAAGGTTGTGAAATGGGAATTTTGAAAAGCACTGCTGAAAGAAACAGACAAACTGATTGAGTGAAAATTTATATTATGTGAAACAGCTGAGTTGCAAACAATTTAGAGATGGCTGCTGACAAGTCTTTAAATCATAACCTTATTTGTTCAGTAGGACTTTTGTAATGATTGTATTATACTGTCTTGCTATGTAGTTTTAACTGGTTGTTGTAACCAGTTTAAGATAAACGTTGAAACATTGCTAGTAGTAATTAATTAAAATACTTTAATGAAAAATAAAGCAAAAACTGGCTTACCGCTGGCACTTTGGGGTAGCTGCTTCTGAACGAGTGCTTGTCATAAGGAGGGCTGTTGACATTCATGGGGGAGCTGCAGCTACAACGGCCTGGAATGCCTGGCTGTCCCTTCTCCCCTTTTGGCCCCACCATGTACAGCCCTGAAGAACAGACAGTCATTCACACTGAGTGGTGATATAAACATCTCTCTGTTTCTCTGAATATTCCAAATAGAATGGCATCTCAAGACCATTCCTAGAGTTTAGAGGTTGATTCAAAGAACCTGGAATATGTACATTATGTTTCAGCCCTGGACTTTTCCAGCCCACTACAACCACAGTGACCTCCCCTAACAACCATGACCCACAAACAACGCCCCCTCCACCCTGTCATTGCACTAGTTAATTAGCCATGTGACAGTACATAGTATATTAACATTAAGCCAGCCATCTGTAGCCTTAGCGTGCAAATATACTGAACAAGAAGGCTAATTGACCTCTTCTGCACGGCCCACTCTGATATCCAAACAAGCCAGGTACTTTCATTTCTCCATTACTTTGCATCTTTTCTGTTTTTTTCAGTTATTATTCCCCTTCCACCTTGTGCTTTTAAAGTTGTTCTCCGTCTCTCTCTCTCAAACTAGCCTATGCGGTTTAACTTTTTCCAGCTGTTATAATTATGCTTTGTTCTTGGGGTGGTGGCATTTACAGGTTTAGCCAAAGGCCACACATTGTGAATGCAGTTGGCCACTAATGCGTCTAGATATGTGTACTATAGTATTTGCCCGGCACATCCTGTTTATCCCGGGCGTTCTCCATTAATTTTATATAAGACAACATTAAAAATGACAATGCATGTCTCTCATTCTCTGAGTGGCCCACACACATATGGACACACTGGGAACTGTCCCAGGCCTTCCAATTGCCAACCCATACCTGCTCTATCACTCTGCTGTCTATCACAAAGAGTAAGGATTTGACTGAATTTGTGCAGAAATCAGAACAAGACAGCAACTGTCACATTAATAAAGTGATGACATAATGTGTGTGTATCTGTGAGGAGCCTGCTCTCTCTCTCGGCCAGTTTAAGGATGTGATGTCATGGCTCTGGGATCTAGCAGGGCAGATCAGGTTGCTCTGAGACTAAAATGATCCTTCGGTGTGACATCCTGTACTGATTTAAAGTCCTCTCACTTATGCGAGCTCTGCACACTGCAAGGCCTAATTCTCTATCACCTTTCACACAGAACCAACAGATTCACACGGTAATATTCAGTGCAGTGTATAACAGTTGTAACATAAGCGGGAGCATGACATAACGTCTGCTGTTCTGTCTGTGTACTCCAGGAAACTGGTTTTGAATGACATACTGACTTGTATGATAGCTTTAATTCAAGGACAATGGCATCTATGTTGGGTGAGTTGCATAGGAATCAAAGCCCTTTTAAACCCAGTTCTCTCGTTTCAGGAGATTATAAAGAGTGCAGTGTTCTTGCCTGGCCAAATCTGCCCTGAATGCCCCTGAACTTGCATTTCACTTATTGAAGATTAGTCTGAAGGCAAAAAGCTCCTGAATTATGCAGGACCCTAAATTCTAAAATACAACAATTTTATTTAAGATTATGTTAATTTGTCCAATTTATATGTTGTTGCAAACTCTAACCTGAGGCAGGCAAACCAGGAGGACCCGGATGACCAGGAGGTCCCTGAGGGCCTGCAGGTCCCATTGGTCCAATGAAACCAGTATCTCCCTTTGACCCCTGAAAGAGACATTAGACAAATATGAGCTCCAAATGTAACTGAATGAATAGAAACCATATTATCATTATTCTTGGGAAGTCCCTCACCTGTTTGCCTCTCTTTCCTGGTCGGCCAGTGGGCCCTCTGTTTCCTGCGATTCCAGGCTCTCCTTTTGGCCCCATTTCACCCTGCCAAAAAAAAATCACGTTTCGTTAACATCGATCAACATTAGCTCAGTGCACCTTTTTTTCTAGTCTGTGCATAAATTTAAAGACTACATTGCGATCCATAAGCAATTGGACAGTAATGTATTTTATTATTATTTGTTTTGTCTCTGTGCTACAGTACATTACAGTACACTTTTGAATAAACTAGGGATAAAACATAAATGAACTATGTTTTAATCTAAGCTTTTTATTAAGAGCGTAAAAACATTGGGCAACTGGCATCCTCACCTTCTGGCCAAGCATTCCTGGCAGACCCATTGTGCCCTGAAACACAGAGTAGTTCTCCATTAGAAATAAAACATCAACAGTGTCACATTTCACTACAGGCTTGGACCAAGAAGAACAACGTGACAGCCTCACCTTCTCACCCTTCTGGCCGGCTTCACCTCTGTCTCCTCTTGAACCCTAAAATGACAGCACATGAAAACATCATTACATACATCAAACACAATAGCAGTGAAAAAAAAACTCCAACAATTGATTATTCAAATAATTCTAGCTTCAGTAGTTGAAAACAAAGGGCATATACAGACAAACATGCACAACAAACTCACCTTTTCTCCTTTATATCCAGGCAATCCCTACATCGCCAAACAAGATTGTTGAGAAAAAGAGTTGATACCTCAATGAAATATACAAGCACTGTATAATATGTACAACAATTATTGGATGTCTGTCATGTTTGGCTGGAAAAGTAAATGAAGTTTCACAGCAACATTGTTCTGTGTGGTGAGACTTATTGATTTCACACTGCCCAAACCTTGGGTCCTACTGGTCCTCTTGCTCCAGGCATGCCCATCAGTCCAGGGTCACCTTTCTCCCCCTAACAAACACATCAGATATTTTATAGTGTACCAAGATCAGCACACTGACAACATGGAACTTCATATACTGCAAAAAATAGCATCTTGGCAAGTGAAAACTTAAATTCTGGTCCATATTTCTAATATTTCTCATGTTGAAATTGTTGTATGTTTAATATCAGATTATTTAACTTATTTCTAGACTTTCTTTTTAACTTTTTGACTTAGTTTTAAGTCATTTTATTAAGAAAAATGTTCTCACTATATTGGCAGATAATGTTGCTTGTTTTAAGTAATATGCTTGAAACAAACAAACTTATCTGCAATATAGTCAAACAATTTCACTTTCCAAAATTACTGAAAAAAACATCTAAAGGCTAGAAATAAGTTAAATGATCTTATAATGTTCCTAAAACAAAATTTGAAATTTTAGAGACATTGACTAGACTTTCAATAATTTCAATTTGCATCATTTTTTGCAGTGTGCTTGTAAAGTTTGTGAGGTTTGAAGGCTGGCTCTCATGGAGTCACACTGATGGAGCTCACTCACCTTGGGCCCACTTGGTCCAGGCCATCCACTTGGTCCCTGTCGCCCTGGGAGACCAGGAGGACCAGTGCGTCCCTGGAACAATGCACATCATGAAAAACAACACTCAGAAAATATTGAGACCTTTTGGTTTTGTAGATCAAAATGAAACATTCTGAGCACGTCTGAGCACATTGCAAGAGATTCACCCTCAATTATAATGTACATGTAAAGCAAGGTTGACAAGTAGTAATAGAAAATGTTTTTTGTAAAGGAAGCTAAAGCAACACAAAGCTTCAGATGGAGTGTCCGCTTGCTAGAGTAGCTTGATTACTTGCTCTCATTTTCTCATTTATTACATTCCTAAAATCAATGTAGAGCAATCTCTGAATTTGCTCGAGAGTTCAAAGACAGGACAATAAACACAAGGTGAGGACAGTGCGTCTCCAGAGTGTTCCTGAAAGGCAGAGTAGCATTGAGCGAGAGAGAGAGCCATAGAAATTGAGAGGGAAAACTAGAACAAGGCCCATCACTCTGCTGGCTTTAATTAAATGATGTGCAGGGGGCAGGAGCCAGGGCTTGTGGGAAAGCGAATGATTTATGGGGCAGCTTCAGCACTAAGCTAAATTGCACTGCAATGCTGCAAAGCTTCCTCTACCAGTGCCACCATGCTCTTCTCCCCTCTCCTAGCATACACTGCACTAGCACTTCCTCTCTTATCTTCCATCTGTCCTACATCCAACCCGTCTGATTACTGACGAAGCCCTCCAGGAAACCACACCTGTGCATCAGTGGAATGGTGGGACGGGGGCCATGGGGACGATTCCATGGAGGGCTGGATGTGGTTCAGACTCTAATAAGGGACACCACCAGTGGCTTCTGTTGTTAAGCACACACTGGCTTCAGAGATGCAGTGCTCTGTCTGCACTCTGTGCCCTGAGAATGTGTGTCAAGGTTGCATTTGCTTAGAATTTCATTATGCCTGTATTGTGTTTGTGCGCGTGGCTGCAGTGTGAAGAAGCCGGGCCAAGAACAGAGTGTGTGCGCATGTATTGAGCTTTCTCTTTTTTTGTGCAAATCCACTTATGTTAGAAAATGGAATGGTTAATGCAGTGTCTCACCTTTTGTCCTGGTCTCCCAATTTCTCCCTGGCAACATGGAGTAGGGTGGGTGCAGAGGAGGAGAAGAGTGGAAAAGAAAGAAAGATGAGAGGCAGTGCATCAATGTGCTGCATAATGAATGTGGCCTTATTTGTTTTTGTACACTGTGCGTCTCATTAGAAAGCATTTAATGGAACTCAAGCTAAAGTGGTTCAGGTTCAATGCTGCTGCATTAAAGAGAGATTACAAATAAGAGACGGCAAAATTTAATTCAAGTGATTTATATTTAAAACTGAGTACATCATTAAACATCCTGGAACCAGCAAAGATGTAGATGCCACAGTGTGATATAGAGGAGAGCAGGACACAATACATTTTAATTTTTACTTCATAATTTTAAAAATATTTGAGCAAATGTAGCAAATGTTTCTACTACAAATGAAAACATACAAGTCATATGCAAAAGTATGAGCACACCTGGTGAAATTACGTAAAAACTTTTCAAGTTAACACAACCTCACTTCTTCACTTTTTAATGTACAATTACTGTTTATTTACTGAATTTAATATATTGGAAAAAACATAAAATATAAAATGTGGCCCATGCAAAAATAATGGCACATTTTATAGTGTGTTTTATTTTTTCCAATATGTTAACTCAGCAAATAAACAGAAATTGTAGAGTAAAACTTGTAGAAATTTGTAGATATTTAAGCTCATTTCGTGTAGAGGATGTGTTCACATGGAAAATCAACACACATGTAATTTAAGCGGGGGTATTCAAACTTTTGCATGCAGCTGTGAACTTTATTTTCAACACCTATCATCTGTGAAAAATTCAGCTGTAAGTGGCATCCGTTACAACCAACACCAAAGGGCTAACTGTACCAGACCATGGTCTGTAAAAAGTCTGGTAAACTGATATAAAACACAATGAATTCAATACAGTTATAGGGTATTTGAACCAGACAAGCTTTTTAACAGAAATACATTAAAATATATACTAAAAATAAAAAAGTATTAGTGACAAGTATGTCAAACATGGCAAATTTAATTTTGACCACAAAATAGAAGAGCATATGTCAGCACAATAAAACTGAAAATTCTGAGCCTGAATGGGTCTCACTGTGAGTTGTTTACATGCTTCAAAACAATGTTATTTTGTAGCTTCCAATAAGGTAAATAAAATAATATAGGTGTGAATTCTTACACACATAACTCAGTAAGCAAAACACTTTAGTTATAGGGTGAAATTCAACTGCTATGTTGCTACGAGAAAATGAGAACATGACTAAAAGCACCTTCTACTATAACCTATTTAACTACATAAAATATCCATGTAACACTTTACTTTCCCTATGTGTGTGCATGTAGTACCTTTTCACCTTTTGGTCCATTTGGTCCTGGTAATCCAGGAGGGCCCTGTGAACGACATTAACACTGTATTTGTAGAACACATTAGAGGTTCAGTCCTTATAAAGCTCTAACAGACATCAGTTGCAATAATCTGCAGATCATCAGAAATGAACTCCATGGTCAGTGATGTTACAGAATATCTTACTTAGACTTGCAATGATCTCTTAGTCCCTTAAATTTTAGGCTTATAATTTAAATACTATTCTTATTACTTAGTACCCAGTAACTACTATAACTACTATGAAAATAATATGTAAGTTGTATGTGGTGGCAAGTGATTTAAATTTAGCCAACATATCTAATATTTTTCATTATGAGATTATTGTAGGTATATCACAAGATTACTAAATTGCTTATTTTCATTTGCTAAGACATAATTTTTGCAGTGTAAGAGTGAGGATTTGATACATGGACCCACATTTGGACGTAAGGTGTTAAAAACACGTTTTTCTTATTGAAGGTGTCTTATTGAAATATCCATTGTCTATGATGTTGAGATGATAGTATATCACATATCATGCAGACAAACAGCCTCTTCATTCTTGCTGAGATGATACTAGATCACATATCATGCAGACAAATAGCCTCTTTATTTAGTCTATGGGGCAGACTAGACTCAGGAAGCTGTCGCGAGCAGCAGACTGTTTCTAAGAAAGGTGCGTGGAGCAGAGCTGGGCAGTGGAAAAAGGCTATTTCCGTCCGCTCTAAATGTAGAGCGTTAATGGGTCGCCATGTAGCAGGGGGCCAAGCCCCGTGCATCCATGTCACTGCAGAAAGTGACCAGGGGGAGTCACATGGGTCTCACATGTTGAGAGGGGAAGCACCCTTGAAACAGAACTGACCACACATGCAGCTGACTCAGAACTCAACACCTCAGAGGAGCTTTCTGGGCAAAAGTCAATCCTGACAATGTGATTTGGCCACGGAGGCCATGTAGCTGGACAAAGCATGCTAGTATTCAGTTAATGGTCACATAACCTGGTGAATTTGGGACAGGGAAGGACATATTAGCCTCATGGCATAAGGCAAGGGTTAAGCTATAGAATGAAAATCTGATAAACAGGAAGGATCGGATTAATATTCAATATCACAATGTTTTCAAATACAACCCCATTTCCGAAAGAATTGGAATGCTGTGCAAAATGTAAATAAAAACAGAATTTAATGATATGGAATCCATTTAAACCATATATTTAATTGAAAATATTACAAAAGTAACATATCAAATGTTGAAATTTTATTGCTTATTGAAAAATATATGCCCATTTTGAATTTGATGCTAACAACATGTTTAAAAAAAGTTGGGACAGGGGCATGTGTTGCATTACCGCTTCTTACTACTTCTTTCTACTGTATGCGTTTGGGAACTGTGGGACCAATTGCTATAGATTCGAAAGTGAAATGCCCGGAGGACTGATTTCCAAAATGAATTTCAATTTTAAATGTACTGGACCACAGGACACTTCTCAATTCGCGTCAGTCCGTCTTAAATGAGCTTGGGCCCAGAGAAGGTGGTGGACTCTATATATCTATATTATGTATCGTAAATGATGAAATCCCAAAGTTCTTTGCTATTTTACTTTGAGAAATGTCAAGTATTCTCATTTATCTAAGAGAATGAAACACGTCATTCTTGAATTGTTGCACTATTCTTACACAGAGTGGTGAGCCCCTCCCCATGCTTACTTCTGAAAGGCCAGCCTTTTATTGCCCCCGTCCCAAATTTTTTGAAACGTTGCTGGCATCAAATTCAACACATATATATATATATATATATATATATACATACATACATACATACATACATACATACATCATCTAAACCGCTTATCCTTCCGGGTCACGGTGGGGTGCTGGAGCCTATCCCAGCTGTCACTGGGCGGAAGGCAGGATACACCCTGGACATTTGATTTGATATGTTGTCTTTGTACTATTTAATTTTATTTTAAATATAAGGTTTAAATGATTTGCATATAATTGAATTCTGTTTTTATTTACATTTTGCACAGCCTCCCAACTTTGGTTGTATATCACAGTATCAGATCATATTTAAGGATTAAAAAAGTTCATGAAGACATGCCTCATTAAAAAGTTAAAAAAGTTCATGAAGACATGCCTCATGAGTGGTGCTCAATGCTAAAAGAATGACTTAACCTGATACACATTATGTGTTTGACAATCACAGCTATATAAGTTGGTTGGATGTCCCATTCCAAAACCATGGGCATTAATATGGAGTTGTATACTCTATGCTGTAGCATTAACATTACCCTTCATTGGAACTAAGAGGCCAAGTCCAAACCTGAAAAATAGCCCCAGACCATGTTCCCTCCTCCACCAAACTTTACTCCTGGCACTATGCATTCCAGTAGGCATGCTCTGTGAGTTTAAGTGGTCTACAGATTCATGGCTGAGCTCTTGTTGCTCCTAGATGCTTCCATTTTACAACAATAGCACTTACAGTTGACCAGAGCAAATCTAGTAGGGCAGAACTTTCACAAACTGTCCTATGGCAATGCCCCATTTAAAGTGACTTAGCTCTTTGGTACGACCCATTCTACTGCCATTGTTCGTCCACGCCAGTGCCCTCCAACCCTGATCCTGGAAAGCTATCTTCCCATAAAGTTTAGTTCCAACCTGTATCCGCAAAGCTGCCCAACCCCTTACTTTAATACATCTATCCAGCCAATTAGGAACTTTAGAAGAGGCTGATTAGCTGGAGCAGGTGTGGTAAATTGTGTTTGGAACTAGGCAGTGCAGGAAGGTAGCTCTCCGGGACCAGGGTTGAAGACCACTGGTCTATGGAAATTGCATAGCGTGCTTGATTTTATACACCTGTTAGCAATGAGAGTGGCTGAAACATCTAAACTCAATAATTAGGAAGGCTTCCCACATACTTTTGGCCATATAGTATAGCTAGTTTAGCCTCCGAGTTCGTTGGTGAACCCCCATTTTCCTCAAGCTCAGCAGCCTTCTCCTGTGTCTGACACCAGCGTAGCACTGGCGCAAAAGACACAGCCAACATAGCACTTATAGGACACTTTTTTTAATTTTGAAAAGCAGCCCCAGCCCCATGCTACCCCAACATAAAACACAGGGAGGGGCTAACACGGGGGGACATGTCACACAAGGAGGGTAGACACTTCTGACCACTAGTTACACTGCAAAGCTAACCCTCCTCAGACACAATTACTCTAATAAACGCAACTATACTAACAACAGCAACAGCGCTCCAAGAGCTACTGTACATGGCCACACCCTCTAAGCTCCCCACAGAGTACGGAGCCCATGGCAGATGCCACAGTATTTTCTCTGCTATAGCACAAATTAACCAATTAATTAGTTAATTAACAAGCTCTTCCTTTGTTGAAATGGGCATGCTAGAGCAGGGTACTCCATCAAACCTGCCTTCCTCACTCTCATAACTATATACCTTACACATCAGTTTCATAGTGGTAGACAATAAGTCTTAATACTAATAACTGACTAATAGACCTAGAGCTTAAGTAGTTAGTGCCTGCTTTGTATTTGGTGAAAGTAAAGACCATACCTGAGGACCTGCAGGGCCGGCTGGTCCAGGCGGTCCCACAGAGCAGGGCAACTTATGATCCTCTTCATCTGTGTTCTTTTTTACCCATGTACTACCATCATCATTCTATAAGAGAAGGCAGGTACTTGATCTTGGGTTTATTGTAAGGTTCATCCAACTGTGTCTTGGTTATTGAAAACATGTACATTAACATTTATTTTTAATTCTAGTTTGAGTTGGCATGTATTGTTCCATACACACAAGCTATTGATATCACCCTAATAATTTAAATGACCAGTCCCATATGCAAAAGGTATCTCTACCATTCTAATGCTTTTATGAACATGATCCATAGATCCATCTCATCTAGTGATCAATATCAGCATTCATTTTTGCCCTCAGACCAGCAGAGCACCTGAGGGGCCCATAGGAAGCATGGAACTTATCCAAGGACAAATCACTGTTACTGAAGCAAGAGTCACATGTCATACCGGAGGCCTGCGCCACAGTGAGGGGGGTGGGGGAAACAAGGGGGGCGGAGGTGGAGCCAGTAAACAGCATGGGTCGAATTTCTTCCTTGGTTCCAGCGCCTCCAGATCTGTGGTTGGGAGAAATAATAGAACATGTCAACAAACATGCAGCAAAGTAGCGCGACAGGGTAACCCTGCCATACAGTGCAAGCAGAGCTTGGGAAGGAGCATGACAGCTGTGCCTGAGTCTGGAAACACACAGTGGCACAGCCAGTCAGAGCCTAATGGATCTATTGCTCCTCTGCCAACTGCTGGATTTAAAGACCCAATCAGAAACTGCAGCACATGGAGAGCCAGTTTGTGAAAAAGCAACAACAGATGCTTTCAAACAATACTACACTGTGGAACCAACTAAAATGAGCTAAATAGGTTATATGGTTTTAGAAAGCTCAGAGCTAGTCCTTGAAAGTGCACAATATACAGTCATATGTAATATTTTGGGCACCCCCTGCTTAAATTACATGTTGTGTTTGAAAATAAGTTAACACACCCTCTACAGAGAACACGCCTCTGCACATTTTAATGCACGACTGTTTATTTGCTGAATTTAACATTAAAAATAACAACAAAATGTGGCCTATGCAAAAGTTACGGCATATATATATATGTATATATATATGTATATATATATATATATATATATATATATCAGTGTTCAAACTTTTGCATACAACTGAATCATTTTTAAAAGGTTATCACAATCTTCATAATACTGATTTTACAGAAAGCTGAAATATACAAATCAAGTTTTTTCAACAAGTTTTTTATTATTTTTTTATTATTATTACTAATTAACTACTACTGCTGTGAGCATTCTGATCATTCACAATTCCAAATGAGTGTTTCTGTGGGTGGTTTGAGGGTGCAGAGTATTCATGTGATCCATCAAAAGTAATTTATTCTGGTCATTATAATGCATAAAAAGACCAATCTTTAATTTAACCACATCACATTATAGATTCACCAATGCGTTTTTAATAAACTGCAAGATACAGCACAATTGCAGTAAGCAGTGATCTAACTGTAATACTATAGCTCTAATGTCATGGTAAAGCTGTATGATATGGAAAAATACTAGAATATTTTGTCTACATCATGCAGACCTACCATGATGCTGCAGTGGCAACTGTTTGATTTTGCATGATTTAAGCAAAGTGGCCATTGGATAAACAATCACAATTTTAGCAGTACATTAAAATGTGTTGGAGGTAAACAGTGACTTGTACAGTACTGTCAGCAAAATAATTTATCTGGGAAATAAGCATTTTTTGGCTTAAAAAATTCATTCAAAAGAGTAGATTGTGTGCTGACTATAACATCAAAGTTTGTTGTTATGTTGTGTTGTTTTCTTCAAATCCACCACTGAATTAATTTAACGAAGCACTGATTGGACAAAACAGGTATTGGATGATAACTACAAAACAGAGCTGCCATGAGGAGAGGTTTGGAAATGGTTACATGAAAACATTAACAAATATGAAATTTATTATTTCATATTTATTGTATTTCTATTATTTATATTCATTCTAATTTTAGTGTTTTTCTGAGCAAATGAACACACACTGCCCAATTAAAGCGTTTTAAATCTATTTTTTTCTTGGATATCTAAAACTTTTGCACAACTCTATGTTGGTGCTATTTTGTTGCTAGATAGTAAGATTACTCGCTGAGTCAGTAGTACATACAGTAGTTTGTACAGAACACGTTTAATCTGTAATGACTGTTTTTTGTACTACAAATGCAGATGCAGAATGTACTACAATATACTAGTGTATTTAGATATTTATAGCCAGTTTTTAAGGTGCAGTGCTCTTCAAGATTGAGTAAGGAAAAAACATTTTAATTGTACTGAACAAAAAGGGACAAGAAACCAGTAACAGCACAAGAGCACTAATGTCCTTATATTTCCAGTGAGGATTCATCTACATTCAGAATTTATAATCAGAACCAAAATCCACAAAATCATGAATTTTTCATCAGATTTAACAAAACTACATTAAAAATAAATCATTATGAACCACAGTACATAGCAAATCAGTAAAGAAAAAGGCGCAAAGAAATCTGACTAAACCAGTAAAACACTGACTGCATCGCAAATGCAGTCAGACACACATGCACCACACCGCACAAGTATTTTGACTAATGTAGCTACCAAATGCAACTAGACATAAGCATTAAACAAAATCCTGATGAAAATCAAAACTTAAAACGTTCACAGTAAATACATCATATTGCTGCTTCTGTCCTTAGTTTGAACCCATCTGAAAAAAAAAGCTCTTCTCTTTACAGTTTGCTGAGCATAGATGTAACATGTTGTTTTTGAAAGTCTGTTAAGCAATTACATAGTATTGTATTAGTGGCTAGAACCTTCAAAAATCTACTCAGGGTACATGTCTATACTTCTAACTGGACGTAACGGTAGAAATATTTGGTGATGGTATTCCTTTACAAATGTCCAACAATGTAAAATAGAGTCACATACAATGTGCAGACAGTGTCAGTCTTCTGTCAATGTCCAACATGTTGCAATCATTTCCATTTTCTTGATTCATCAAACCTTAACGTGTACAAATTGATGAAAAGCAAGCATAGTGAGTGCAGACTTCAGATAAGAAACAGATACTGGAGTGATACAGGAGTTGTCGTACCTGCTGGAAAGGTGAAGATGTTGTCGATGAAGGAGTATGATGAGGCATGATGAAGGAGGAGAGGTAAGTAAAGTCCAAATGTAAGAAGGAACATGCTGTTGGCTGCAGTACACTCTATACCTCCAACCGCTCTGGCTAGCAAACTGAGGCTTCACACCACAACACTCCCCCTTCTCTTTCTGTCTCACACCCACTCCCCTCCCTGCCTCTCTCAGTATCCCCACGCCTCCTACAGAACGGAATGCCAGCCCATGCCACGGTTAAATTGCTCCCTTGCATTGGCCCTATGCTAAATATATAGGGGTCAGCTGCTCTTTGTAGTCAATATTAGCTTCTTACTACTGGCACTGCCTTTGTTTTCCCCTGCCGCAAAAGGAGAGAGAAAACAAAACAACACAGACTGACATTGAGGTGTCAATGCGTCATTGCATCATTCATATGCATGCTTTACTACTGGCTTACACATATATGGCATGTACACACCTCTCAGTGGTCATGTTGACATGTCACATGCGCATGTTGGAGTAAAATATGACCTTGTGTCTGTGATAACACAGGAATAGAATTACTAAAATTCTTGAACAACCACATGCAACATTATAGAAAGTAAAAATAACACTACCACTTGAAATAGCACCCTTTAAGGTCTAAAAAATATTATTTATTACAAATAGTAGTAACATTATTGGAATGGGACTTCAGGAATGAATGAGGAATTCAGCTTCTCCTGTTCCCTTCCTCAGCTGTCCTTTAAGCAGGCCATATCGACCAGCGCAGCAGAGAACTTGCTGGCCTTTTCCTTGCCTTAGAATTAATGACACAGCAATTAAGGAGAGGGCCACTTAAGTCCTGTAGCAGGGAGAACACTATTAATGCCGTCCACTGCAGTTGCCAATTCATCAGCATGAAGAAAACGGAGAGAGAAAGAGAGACACTGCATTTTAATAATCACATTTAATTTACATCCTCCAGCTGAACACAATAAAACCTGAACCACCCACACTCATCCACCTTGTAGAGATCAGTATAAAGTGTACATTCTCAAGAAAGAAATGTTCTTCAAATGGCTCAGTGATTTACTAGCACATGGGAAACTGACTTTAAAGTATTAATTAAAACATCTACAGCTATATCAGCAGAGCAAAATTCACTGAACTGTTCCAATAAATAACCTTAGAAATTTGCACCTACAAGGAGTGGTCTTGCTTTGCTCTATGGCTAAGGAAGATCAGTGAGGTAATGGTCTTTGACACAGAGGGGAAGCAGAGGACAGGAAGGCTTTAATTGACTGGAGGCTGGACTGAGCTTAACCAGAGCCCTACACTCCAGCCCTACATTTTACCCCTGCCACAGACATCAATCCAATGCCAACATATTTACATACACTTACAGGACATACACTCTTAAGTACTGACCAAACATTGCACTTCTGCCAGCATCACAACACAATCTGAGCACTACTTCTGTAAAGAAAAGTAAAATTATGTTAAATCCCTACAACATAAAAATGTATAAAGTGCTGTGCAGAAGTCAGAGATCATCTTTTTGTTTATTTAATTTCCAGTTTAAAGTGCCATTATGACAAGTTAATCACTTTTTCGTGGTCAGAATAAAGCAGAAAACTCAAACTCAGAAGTCTCAACAACTAAATATATTTTTTTCAGTATTTAATGTGTCCACCCTTTGCCTTTATTAAAGCTCCCATTCTCTTTAGGAGACTTGCTTTCAGTGTTTCAAAGACATCTGCAGAGATGTTCCACACCTCCAAAGTTCAGTCTTACAAGTTGGTTGCATTTTCTGTCTCTCCTGATCCCAATTACAAATTTTGATTCATCAGTCCATAAAACCAAAAAGTAAAGAGTGGGTAAATCAGAAATAAAATACACAAAAGGGTGGTGTCAGACTTTTACATAGTACTGAATTCCCAAAGCTTTTCATGATGATTTGTGTCTGGGGGCAGAACTGCAAACTGGATCGTTTATCACTGTTCCCTTAAAGCAGCAGATGGTGGTGAACAAAGAGTGGAATTGTCGCCATAAAAAGATGACCGGTCAATAATTCAATAACCACAGGCTAGGTCAACTATGTGGTAAACAAGAAAGAAACAAACAAGCCACATGAGAGGATCAGAAAAATCATAGGGATTAAAAAAAAGTCATGAAATCTAATAATTAATGGACGTTTCCTCAAGTACAAAAAGTTGCCACCTACAGTATAATGTGATCTTGATATAGGTCACTGAGGTTTTTAATGCACTAACAGATTAAAACTGACAAACGATATTACATGTTGAGCTCTATTAGATGTGTCTGATAAGGGAACAGTTAAATGGTGCAGGGCAAGGTCACTCCAGCACACAGACTGAAACACTGCTCTAGACCAAGAATACTCAACCCTGTTCTTACAAATTTATTCTTTTCAAACACTCAAAGGGGCTCTAAAATCCACATGGCCCTGGTGACCTTAATTAGCTGGTCTGCAAAACTGTAGGCACACCTAAACAGATACATCACCCCAAGTGCACGGCTGGAAAGCCTGACAGTCTGGAACTAGACTGCCCAAAGCGTGAGGGCAGTGTGGATGTTTGATTTGGCTTAAAGGTGGGCAATATGATGATATTTTATCATTATCGTGATAAATGTTATAACATACAACATGCTTTCCAGATCATATTGTGGATATTGTCTGTATTTAAAGATCACTAAGCAACTGCATGTTTCAAGAAAGCATATTTAGTCCTGTTTAACTGCAGTAAGTATGTAAAATGTTGTATAAAAATCATAGTGCCAGAGTTTTGATAGCAAGTGTGATCCTACAAGTGCACTGTATCTGTGTGTCACAATATTGTGATACATATCGTGCATCGTGAAAACATGATGATATTGTTTACATTTTTACTGTATCGTCCACCCCTAATTTGGCCTTTCAGAAAGTTACTCTAAACCAAGGGTCATCAATTTGAATCAGTTGGTCTCAGTCTTCAAACAGCTAGTTATACGAGGTGTGCTCCTGCTTGGCTGGAATAAAAACGCTACAGCCACACCGACAATTTGTGATTAAGACTGGTGACCCCTTCTCTAAACACTACCCCTTACCCAATAAGAGAACAAATCATTTTAATTATATATATTTATTAAAAATATTTTCCTTTTAAAATTATACATTAGTAACAAACTATTACAAAAAACATTTTACAACATGATTTGAAACCTACCTACTTTTACTTGCATGCTGTATATGTATATCAAAACATTGTACAAAATGTTTGGAAACCCCTGATCTAGACCAATATTGGCAATGTAGAATCAGCGTGTATTTCTATGCAAAATTTGGAATCAACTGTTATTTTTTGTAGCTTATTTTGAATAGTTCATATTTATATAATATAAACCAAACCTAAAAAGGTATTTTTTTAGTTTTATTTAGCATTTCAAGTAGTTTCCAAAACTTTGAGAGGCAGCGTTTGTGCATGATATGGCACCATTTTATGATGATTATTACACTAAAATTAATGTTCTCATGTTCAAAGTACTACAAAGTAGATTTAGAATACAGAGCACCTGACACAGTAAGGCACTGCTGAAGCTCTGCCCAGTCGTTAGTAATGAAAGAGCTGACCACTGACTGTAGGAGCAGAGAGGGAAAGTGATGGATGGCAAAATGTTCTGGCTTAATGCCTCTTAACTCTCTTACAGATTGGAGCGAGTGAGCCAAGGGAAATCCTAAAACAGACAGACAGACAGACAGACAGACAGAAAAACAAACACAAATAGAAAAGAGAGGGTCAGAATGAAGAACAGAGTTATAATCAGAGTTTGTCCAGAAACCAGAGGTTCCCAGTCTAGTTCCCAAGTACACAGAGAGCATATGGCTGTTTTTATATATAGAAAAATATGTTGGATTACAACAAAAAATGTGGACGGACTGGTTGTCCTCTTGGTTTGAACGGGATTGGTAACCTCTGCTTTTACTGTGAAAGTAAAATACCATGGCAAACATCAGTATTTAGAGGTATAACAAAATGAAGAAATAATGTTTTCTTACAGAAAATTCCGTTTGAAGTATCTGAAAGTGCTGAAGCATGTTTGGCCTATCATTTAAAATGTGGTCAGTACACATGCAGAGTCTATTCATCTGCATAAGCCTATTGCCCACACACACAGATTGAGGGTGTTCCACAGTCAATATGACACCCAATCCTTCAATTTGTGTTTGCCAGAACACACACAGCTTAACATAGCAGGTCACTCCTCTCAATAATAGGTCTACAAATAGCAAGGTCGGTGGGGTCAGAGGTGTTTATATGTGTTTGTGTAAGTGTGTATCTACTGGCCTGCAGTGTAATTAACACTTCACGTTTGCCAGAGACCTTTAATACTACAACAGCCACTACAGAGAATAACAGACAGTCCTTGTGTTGATTACTGCATCAATGAAAATTTGTTTTCAAATTGATGATTCATAGATTGATGCCAACAGATACATTCATGTACAAAAGTTTGGGCACCCCTGGGCAAATTACATTTTGCTGGTTTTCTAAGCAAAAATAAGTTAACACTCAGAGAATGTACATTTTTCATGTATAATTACCGTTTATTTAATGTAACATATTGGAAAAATAAAAAATAAATGAGGCCTGTTCTTTTTCCAATATGTTAAACTCAGCAAATAAGCAGAAATTTGCCCACAAATCTGAGGAAAAGTGTCATATTTAAATTTGATCCCTGTAACACCCAGCACACAACTTATTTTCACTTAGAAAATCAACAAAACAAAATTTGACTGAGAATTTTCAAACTTTTGCATAAGACTGTACAGGACACTTCTTAAAATTTAAAGTCAATGCGAATTTAGAATCACAGCGCATTTTTTATCCGTTCCGTGACATATTTCCGACTGCATTAGGGGATTAGAGGAGTTTTCAGGAACGTCTCTGAGCTAGTTGAGAATTTCACTCGACTTTATTCTCAACACTGAGAATAGAGGTTTTGTACTTGAGATTTGGTATACAAAGCAAAAGGGCCTAGTTTCTGACAAAGTAGCACTCTCTGAATTTTTGTACCGAGCATCAGTATTTTAGTTTTTTTTTTCTTGATTTAGTTTGGTTAATAACACAATTAATAGAATGTCCTATAATGCTCAATGTCACATATCTATGATGCACATTTGCATCCTAATGTACTGTGTCATAATTTATTGTTGTTGGGAAATCACCCAATTCTCAGTTACTTTTGTGTTTTTACCAGCTGCATTGATATGAGAAGTTTCAAATGATAGAAATAATAATGACTCCTATACAGACGTTTGCTTGAGATGTGTGCGTTAGTGTGTGCTGCAGGAAACCTGTTGCTTGCGGTCGGCTGCTGGGTCTATGAGCACATTGAGCAGGCTTGGCATGGCTGTGTCTCTCAGGCTTTGCTGTAGTGCACTGCGCAGCTCTTCCACTGTCCGCACCAAATACCCACAGCCTCCAAACGCACACATCACCTGTTCATACCGTGCCTCTGGCAGGAGCGTCACTGGAGGAGCTCTGAAACAAACGTACACACTAAGGCCCAATCCCATTTCACTCCTTGCCCTTACCACTTAGCCCTTAGCCCCCTGTTTTGCACGTTCACGTCTAGGATCTTAGATTAATGTCATTTCAATGTATTATGGTCGTTTTCTTCATAACAAGCATAAAAAAGTATGCTAATGTCTCGGTAGCTAGCTAACTTTCCTGTGCCACCTTAAACAGTCCAGCAGGATTGACGACTGAAGCGCCAGAATGTAACTGCTGCACCATTTAAAGTGGAGCGGGAAAATTCGAACAAAAAGCTGGCGAGTAGCTGACTTCAGCTTTGTATCACCAAAGAATTAGCGGTGGGCGATAATAAATAATTGTCTTATACTCCCGCTTTGAAAGCATACGATGCCTTACATGTAACTAAAGCCCAGCAGCGAGGTTTTTTTTTTTAATTTGGAGTTGTCCCATTTCGTAAGGCAAGATTTCAACCTCTTGTTTTCAAAAAGAAGAAATGGGATTGGGCCTAAGCATGTAAAAATCATGCATCTGAAGGTGTCAAGTTAAGCGCATAATTTTTTCCATTATAACACTATTATAATCCCACCTTCGTCGAAAAGAGTTTCTGGGGCAGTCATACCATATATTTTATCATATATTATGGTAAAAAGTCAATAAGTGGCACAGTGTCCATGCTGCAATATTCCTGGAGTAATTTTGCCCTAAGTGCACAACCAGAATCAAACCTGCAATCATATGAATCCTATTCAGCAGCTTTAGCAGCAGCCTGTCAGTCTGTCACAGAGGCACAAGACTCACACAGTGGTCATGTCTCCCATCTTCTCCATCTGCTTCCATGTCTCTGGATCCACCCCACTGTAGATGCCGTTATTGTTGATGACAATTATGATAACTGGCAGCTTATATCTGTAAAAAGTAGTGTATTAAACATTTTGTAAGCAAACATGCAAACTGTACAGTTTATACACACAAAATACAAATATAGGCACACCTAAAGTGATGGTACATATATTTAAGCACTTCTGAAGAATATATAAATGGTTAAGCTTTTTGTGCAGCTCTAGGGATGCACCAATATGAGAATTATGTGCCGATGCTGATATGCAATCTGCAGACGCCGATACATAAACATCCATAAAAGGTAGAATTTGGGACCAGATTTACCTGTATTAGCATTATAGAGAAATACGACTTATTTCTTCACAGAGTTTCAAAAAATTAAAATTAATATAATAAATAAAACACAGATGCTTTAGCACAGTAGCCCAGCATCACCTAAACATACTGCTCTTCCAGAGTACAATAAATATGTTATGAAATATTGGTTTAAAATATCATCAGTCTGATCATTTTTTAGTATTTATCTGCCAACACCAATATTCAATACCACACATGTTAATTGGACCTGAAATTGTGGTCCCAAATACAGCCTGACAAACTTTTAGTTCAACTGCAACCCGACCTAAAACGGCATCTTGACCTGAGAAAAACTGTCGAAATCGGACCACAGCCATGTCATCAAGTTTTGATTCCAAAACTGACCCAATTCCAAAAAAACGATTTTGACACTGTGGTTACACCAAAGTTAATAAAAACAAAAAAGAGGGAAAAAAATAATGATAATAGACTACAGTAGCAGTAGCCTCAAAAATGGAAGCTTTTGCAGTTTTGTTATTTTAAAAGCAATTTTTTGGCTGTAAATGCGATTTAATAAACCTATAGCAAAAACTACCAAACCACATCAAGAACAAAGTTAGCTTACCACTTTCTAAGCAGAAACTCAAGCATGTTCATGTTCTCTGATTTAAGCAGGCTTCTGAGTGGTTTTACCATGTAACATGCCGTAATGAAAGGGGCTGCAGACAGAAGCAGCCCTCAGTTTTTGCAGCTCTTCTTTCAGAAAACATGGCATCTATGTAGCCACATGGTGTAGATTTATTGGAAAGTGGCCCTCGCTTGCATGCTGACACAAGTGGATGATAGTACACTGCACACAATCTCAGAATCCTATCCATTTTGTTTGCTGTTTATTTCCTGCACATCTATTTTCTGACGAACATGGGCCTCATGGACCTTGTTGATAAAGTCTGTCAAGAATACAAGTGGGTGATTCCAGCAGGAGAAAATTAAAAACTGATTTAAGTAGTGAAAGTTGGGGGGCCAGTATTACGTGAAGAGAAAAACTGAAACAGGGGAAGCAGGGGGTAAATGCAGGGTAAAATCTCTTAAAACGGCAAGCTGTGAAAACCTGAACATGAAATTTTAACCCAATACATATTTGAAAAATGACGCTTGAGTGCGAACCGAGCAGTCGTGTCCCATCAAACAAATATTTGTTTAGTGTCTTTAGTATGCGTCCAGAATGTTTGATAAGTAGGAAGTATAAAAATATGTCAGAATGCAGAGTTATGTGAAAGACGATGATTGCTGCTGAGTGGATACCTGCACATGGTTTCTACTTCCATGCCTGAGAATCCAAAGGCACTGTCTCCCTCCACACACACCACTCTCTGTCCTGTCTGCTGGGCTTTCTCCAGTACTGCTGCTGCAATGGCAAAACCAGGCCCCACTCCCATAGTGCCAAAAGTCCCTGCATCCAATCTGAAGAAGAGCCCATAGCATGACATTGTAGCTTTTAAGTTTCAGCATATTTTCAAAGTTTTTTACTTTACGGAGCCAAATCCACAACTATGAAGAAGTTCACAGCTGAAATGTCACTGAACTCAGAAAGCAGAGAGAGACCTGTGTCGGGGAAAGTGGTTGAGTAGCATGGTGCGGCCGATGTCCATGGTGTTGGCTCCCTCACTCACAATGATGCAGTCTTTGGGCAGGAGCTCAGCAATATGGTGGAATGCTGTGTAGTAGTTCATGGGCAGAGTGGCACGGAGAACAAGAGCCTGCAAATAAGCGGAAAAAAAGCAGACTGTCATGCAAAGCAAAAAATAGGTAGTAACATTTTATAGTAGCTACATATACATGAATCCTTTATGTCAGATTCATTAACAAAACTGTAACCCTTCAATACAATTACATAATCATTTTGAAACATTTATTAAATACATTAATTCAAGAGTAACAAGCATATATTTTAATATATTGACTCATTCAGTGACGGATAGTGTATATATGTCATGATAAGTTCATGAAAAAACACACCTTTTCATGGAATAAACACAATGCTAAGCAAAAATACATATTTAATATTCATACTGCAGCCAACACTTCTTATAATACTGTTCAAAAAGCATTCATGCTTGACACAAAAATGTAGCAAATTCATAACATTTCATATTCCTATACCTTATATTAACCTGTGTAAGGGTTTCACAAAATATTTACTAATATTTCATAAAGTAATCATTTTCAACCCTTAGCTGCATATCTCATGAGTAAGCTTGCTGTGCATTTAGTATCATACATTGTTCATGTAGATTTTAATCAATTTATGGACATATTATGGTGCATATACTAAGCATCATTGAGTGAGTTTTCAATCCATTATATTATATACTCATTATGAATAAATGATTCAATGACCATTTCAAAATTATTGTGTAATTGTTAGTGTTACTGAACTGTTTATGAATATGCCATGAATGCTTCACGTACATGCAGTAACTGTAAAACGTTACTGAAAAGAAAAACATCAATGTAGACCTGTTCTTTGTCAACTACATTAGTAGCTCAACATACCTTTGATATCTGAGCATTGGAAGCCATCTTTTCTCTCAGAGTGATCCACCACTCAGTGTCTGATGGGTATCTCCATCTGTCTGACTTCAGGCTCTCTACCAGCTAGAATTCGGTAAGGTAAAAGGGTATAAGGACATGGTATTAAAATATGCCCATATTGTCGCTGCCGTAAGAAAACATTGTATCTCAACAGGTAACTGAGAATGAAAAAAATGTTCTTAACTTCTATACATCAGTCTTCTTATTAAACTTGAAGGGTTGCATTTCACAATTAATTCTAGCCTATTCATCATGAAACGTTCACATAACATAAACGGCAGCTGGCATTTTCAAAGGTGTAACAAAATAAAATGGAAAAAAGGACTATATGAGTTTTTCCTATGACAGCAATGTTATAAAAGATAACATGATTGCTGCTGTGGTGTAGATACCTGGCCCACTACAGCCCTCACGTCTCCCAGCAGTGCTGCTGCAGCTCTAACATTATTACTCAACTCCTCTGCACACACATCCACCTGCACACAGATCATGGATTTAGTGATATTACATGTACTTCAGCCGTTCATACACAACAGATCCACCCAATCTTTTAATCCAGAATACAAGCAGAATCCAGAATGATACTCATGTAATGAGCTTGCAGTAAGACAATTCACCAGAAATAGGTGTCATATTTTCCTTTGAATAAATTCATTTGCTCGCAAAATAATCTGGGATTACCTGAGAAAACCTGAAAACTGAGAATGACTATGCTGACCATATTGAACGGCATGTAAAACTGCCCTTAATGTAAATGCTAAAAGTATTATATAACCCGTAACTGCACAAAAGGTGTTGGACTTCAGTGCACCATTCCTCTATAACACTGAGTGCTAACAGAGAATCAAGTCTGATAGTTTAAAAGTTTGTTTGTTTTTTCAAATGTGTCCACAATTTAGTGAGTGGCTGAAGCTAAATCTACATGTACACTCTTAACTAGTGGGAAAGCCTGCAAAGAAGGCCTAATTATTTCCTGGAACTAAAAAATACATGGCTTTTGTATTTAACTTCTGCAAGTATTGTAAAGTGCTCATCACTGAAGGATTCAATGTAAAACTGCAAATACAAAGAAATATGTATGTTAATATACTTACAATTGTTACAAGCTGAAAACAAAAACTACAGAATCTAGAACAATCCAAAAATGCTTTTGCGCACCAGTGTTAACATACTGTTAGAAACCTCACAGGGACGCTAGCAGAAATTAGCATCATTGTAGAGGTGGGTTTTTTTTTCTTGTCTTTACTTATGGTCTGAACTGAAGGCCTAGCACTAACAATGGCTGTTTGCCACTGCTCTTAACCTACCTGAATTACTTTTACATTACGGCTGAATCTGGGTGGGAAGCCAAAGTGCAGGATCCAGTTGAGTCTGGCTCCCAGAAGCAACACCACATCTGCCTGCAGTAGAGCTCTGAACACAGATGCAGTTTTCAGTAGGTTTTTAGAAAAAGATTAATAACAAAGGATTATTTAATCAAAAACACACAGTGAATCACAGTGCAAGGTTAAAGACTAGTGTGCATTATTTTAGATAAATAGACAGACAGACACACAGATGTACTTTAGTGATCTCTGAGGGGAAGTCTGCAAAAAATAGTTTACTTTTGTAAGATTGTATGAATATGCTGATTTATGAAAACCCTCACTTGAACTTGTAATTTCCACAGATGTTTACTGCACACAGTAAGAAAATGTGTGATTGGTTAGAGATTTTATCTGCACCTGGATCGAGCAGCAGCCACACAGTTAGGGTGGTCATCAGGAAGCACTCCTTTCCCCATTGGTGTGGGCAGATATGGTATCCCACTCAGTTCCACCAGCTCTTTAATCTCATTCTCTGCTCGGCCATATGCTGCACCTACATCAAGGATAACACACTATTTACATATTTAAATAAGGTACAGTACTATTCACAGTGCTACAGCTGCACCAGATTACAATTCATTCAGTGCAGACAAGGACACCACCTCATGTGGTCACTTTTCACTTTCATGATGTGAAATATGCTGTCCTACTAAAAGTACAGTAATAATGCTTTTACTGTAAAATGTAATGCCTCTATATACAACTTTGCTGAGAACAGGCATTAGAGACATTCGCTCTTTACCACTTTCTGACAAGTATTAAGGTCATCCATTTGTGAGTGTCATCCTCAGTCAAGAAAAGGTTTTGATAAATATGTGCTTTTCTTTACTGCAGTATTGCCTTCAGTGCTCACTGCATAAAGTTGCTTTTAGAAATTTTAGTTGCGCTCCATGTTTAATTAAATGAATCTCATCCTCTTCTGAATGTCCTGCAGCCTCTTCCACAGTAAAAATGGTATACTTTATAGACTGACCTTTTCTAAAATAAAACTAGTGTGCACATCTTCCATATAGTTAAATTTTATCTGCAGTTAGAGATGATGTCTCAATACTTTCGTGCAAGAGAAGAAAATATGAGGTGGAAATTCACTTCTTTCACTATCACCTTTGCCAATGATGATCAGCGGTCTCTGAGCCTGTTTAAGAACTCTGACAGCCTCTGAGATTTCTTGACTGCTTGCCAAACTCGCTGGCGGAGGGGGACAGCAGGATACAAACCTGAAGCAAAAGTAAAAGTAAGAGGGTTGAATCAGTGAGAGAAACCCAAATGCATCCCTCTCTCTGCATACACAACTCAACTGTTCTTTTTTACTGCTATTTTTAATTAATGACAGGTTATTATACATACTCTGACAGCGGCAAGACTTGTGACCAGCAGTGTGGTCAGCTGCACATGATAAGCAAAGTATGAAAAAGGCCCTGTACATACAGACAGAGCTGGGGACACTGCACCACCTAGTGGCCAGAGCTGAAATTGCTTTATAGAGTTGGAAAATAATACAATTTGAAAGTTTTTTTTTTTATTATTATTTGGTAAAAGAGTGTGACTAAAAAAAATATTTGACATTTATTTTCTTAAAACACTGAAAGTTTGGGTTATGTAATTGCTTTTACTAGGGCACCTGTTCTTCCTACAGCAGGAGTAATCAATTCTGGTCCAAGAAGGCTGGTGTCCAGCACAGTTTAGTCATTTCAAACATACCTACTAAAACAGGAGAGTCTGAGCAGGGAAATCACCAAACGGTGCTGGACACCAGCCCTCCAGAACCCGAACTGATAACCCCTGTCCTATATTCTCCTTTTTTGTCTCTGTTCCCTTGGAGCTCATCCCAGCAATCTCTAGCTAATTTAAAACACAATTTGTTTATTTAATAAAACTAAAACATCCGCTACAGATGAAGCTGTTAGCTGCGGCGTGAAGAAAGAGCACAGTGGAACTTATCTTTAATTACAATGTGAATGATACTGGTACCTGTTCATATCACTAGGCTACCAGTGTTTGCATTAATTACATTCTGCCTATGCTTCTACAGCATGGTTGCTGGTTCACCTGACATTGGTCCGGTCCACTCTGGCATTCACCATGTCTCCAGGAATGTCTATGTAGCATGCTCCTGGACGACCATAAATGCTGCTCCTTACAGCCTAACAAAAATAGGTGTCAAAACATCCAATTTATCATCTTTTTTCTCCACAAGAAAAAAATGTATCACTAAGGGCAGACACCTATGTCTAGAAAAAGTACAATAAAGATACTAAAATAGGAAAAATAATCTAACTTCACCTTTTCAACTACTGCTGGAATCATGGCCAGACTGCTTGGACGGGCAGAAAACTTGCTGTAAAGGCGACAGGCTTCCACCTGATCAAGACCAAAAGAGAATAACTGACTTTTGCTGAGACAAAGTCAACATATAGAGCTCAAAATATGTGTGTAAATTACAAAACAAACCTGAGGGAACTCTTGAAATGCTCCAGTGGTCTCCTGGTTCTGATCAGAGGAGCCTCCAATGACTATTACAGGCCTGTAATTAAACAAGAACACAGTGTTACTGATGTGGAAAAGTCCTAAAAGGAAACAAACAGACAAACTAAGTCTATGAGGTGTGTCACTTCTAAAATTCCTAATCAATTTGTGTGTAGCACACAGAATGACCTTCTAAAACATTGAGTTTTTCAAGTGTATCTGCATTACCAGCAATTCATATTAGCATTGGCCATTCCACCAAGTGCATGGATCAGTCCAGGTCCTGACACAACCAGACAAACTGCTGGACTGCCAGAGAGAGGCAAAGAGGAAGTCTTACATACAACAAAAAGCAAAAGAATTTAGTGTGATGGGACATGAAGCAAACACGTACCGTCCTGTCAAATATCCAATTGCAGAAGCAGCGTAGCAGGCCTGTTGAACAAGAAACGATAATGGTAAAGGATAGTGGCTGCGTTCAATACAAAAAACAGAATCCCCTAATTGAAAGGCTGTGAGGTGAGGTGGTCTTACTGCTTGTTCATTGCGCATTCCCACATACTTGATACCGGCAGCTTGAGCAGCCATGGCCACCTCAATGATGGGCACACCGACAATGCCAAACATGTACTCCACATTCTGCAACAAAAAACATTACTATACAGTAAGCAAACAGTGATTTACAACAGTTTCAACAACTCTAAAAAGTGATATTCAAAACAGTGTATCAAAACTTAAAACTCTCAGTCTCTTCTAAAGGCTTTGTTTGCCGTCTTTCAGGAAAAAAAAAACATGGTCAGTGATCAGAATAGGTATCTGGGTGCATCCTATCCTAGAGTAAAGTGGGAGGGCTTATTTCATATATGATCTATAAAAATGAAAAAAAATATATAAATATGAGAAGTAGACATATGAGATCAGTTTTTTATGGTTTATTACTCAGTTGCATGTTTTTCTAAAATCAATATTTTGCACAAGAAGGTGCTACTTTGCAAATGCTTGTTTTGAAATAACATCTGTACTTTTTCTGAGGTAAACCAATCTGCGTAGGATAGAAGCGCAGCTTTTTAGAATCAAGACATTTTACCCCTTTTGACACATTTAAGTCTTGACCTCAGAATGAGCAATCATATCAAATTTCAAAACAGATGCCTACTATACAGGTAAGAAAGGGGTGGAACTTGCCTTTTCAGTATATGAGTGCAGGCTACAGAAATCAGCTGACCAATTATGGAAAATTGTAAATGTAAGAACAGTGATATTATAGTAAAACACAAGCTTTCATGCAATAAAATTAATGATACCTGTGTAAAAAATAAATGAATACAAATATTTTGCATGACATGTTATCCAGCTTATTTCTGCCAGACTGCAGTCTCCTGATTTCCCCAAGCCTATCTAGCTAGAAAACCTTTGTTTCTATTGTGATAGGATCCTCAGTAAATTTGTTTGAGTGAACATTATTCTGGTGGACACCTGCTCTCTCATTCTTCTCCTTCTGCTCATCCAATATTTCTTTTGAAATCAAGGGTATTAATGGGTATTTTGTTCTTCCTTTGCTGCAGCCTTCACTCATCTGGGAACGTTTTACAATAGATACTGGAACATTGTTGTGAGGATGTGATTGTATTCAACCCCAGGATCATTAGTGAGGTCAGGTACTGACATTGGATGATGAGTTCTGGATCACAAACTCCACTCCAACTCATACCAAAGGTGTTGGATGGAGCTCCATCACTCCAGAGAACACACTTCCATGCTTCACAGCCCAATGATGGGAGGCTTTATACCCTCCAGCTGACTCTTCGAATTGGGCATGGTGACCTTAGACTCATGTGCAACTGGGGATTATACAAGCTGTGTGTGCGCAACTGAACACCTGCGTCAGTAATTGGTGCACCTTAAGTAGGGCTGAACAATTTCAGCAAAATATCTAATTGTGATTTTTCTGACCAGTATTATGATGGCTTTGTATTAATTGTGGTCATTTCTTGCCAAGAACAACATATACAGTTTTACTGGTTTAAGGCTTTAACGCTGAATATAGTGCACAGACTGCCAGTTAGTTGTCGTTGTGATGTCACAGCGCAGACGTGTGGTTGCTTGGTCTAATGTTAACTCATCAACAAGCAGTTTAAAAGCTGTGTTATAAGGTTAAATTTCCACTCTTAAAACTTGCATTTTATAATAAAAAGTTAAGCTTTTCTATTTGAAACTTAAACTCTTTTCAAATTGCGATTTCGATATTGAACGATTAATCTTTCAGCCCTACCTTAAAGTAGCTGAATTCCAATCTTTGGATACTTTTGGACTCATAAGCTGCGTCCAAAACCAAATACTAACGTTTCTATACTACACGTACTACACTAATGGACTTCTATTGATGGTATATCTACTGTTTTTGACAAACCAGTATTGCATGTATGGAAGTATGCGCTTTTAGACGCAGCCATAATATACAACCACCACGAAGCTCAGATACAGAAGCAACTGCAATGCACACGCTATCTTAGAAAGGTTAAAATGGGTATCTTGTAATTTGCTGAGGTTAGCGTTAGCTAGTCAATGAGCATTGCAATGGACCTGGCTGAACCTGAGCACTGTGCCAAAGGTGCCAAAGGTGAGTTGGATAACTTTTTGTTCCAGTTTAATTTATCGAAGGACCCGGGTAAACTGATTAGTTTACAGCGTGTTCTGAGTTTATTAACTAGGTATTTGACTTCCTTTCAGATTGAAAAAAAAGTTGCTAGTTGTTCTAGTTGAGCAGCTGTGATGTCGATAAACAGCCACAAAGAACACAACCAATGAATCAATAAATCACTATGACTGATCTTCTGTCTTAGCTAACTAGCCAGCTAAGCTAGTTAGCTTTTAAAGCTAATTATTTCTCACATTCTCGGCGTAACTAGACAGTCGCGAAACCGCGCTGGATTAGGAGTGAAAGATTTACAGTGTTATTGCACTAACCTGAGACTTCAGCGCCTCAGCGATAATCTGAGCTCCTGTCACTGTTTCTGCCATCTTGCTTTTTGCTCGGCGGTTAAACCAGCCAAAACGCTGTTAAACTTGCCGCACGCCAAATGTGGGTGCGCGGCTACTACACGTTTAGCGGTAAGAGCTAACATTAACAGAGAGCTCAACTCGGAGAGAAAAGAGAAGTACTCATTATAACAGACTTAAACATTTGGGTTATTAACTGTAACTAATAATTCTCCTTTAAATGTACTGCAGAAGCATTGTAACATCAGATGTTTACTTTAATAATTTATCTTTGTCTTGTTGACAGTTGTACTCAGGGCTGGTTCTGAACAGTAGGGGCTCTAAAGGAGCTCCACACATATTATCAAGTGTTTAAGAAAGAAAAGTGTTTAATACACATTTCTATCAGTTCAAAAGTAAGTTTAAGTAAATAAATCTTCAGTTATATGAAGGACAGCTAAGCATTTAACCACCAGTATAGTATCCAAAAAGCACCAAAAAGGGTTCTGTTATTTGTTAAGCTTGTGCAACAATAGCAGAACCCTTGTTGGTGCTATATAGAACCATATACAACAGATTCTCTATCAATCTGAAGAAACATCTCACCATGCAAAGAAATTTTGTTCTACATATAGAACTCATGGTTCTAAATAGAACCATTTACTTTACTAAAGAACCCTTAAAGAACCATCTTTTTTAAGAGTGTAGCTAATAATATTCAGTGCAAAACTAAAGAAACAAACATCGGACATGACTTGGCTGATAGACTACACAAGGGATAAGTGTAAATTGGATTTTTCACTGAACAATCTTTTTCATTTACTGTAGACAGTATGAGGTCTATTAGCCACAGTATGGACTTGACAGTTTAATGTGTACAGATGAGAATGTTAAATGTTTGTTAGGGGTGGGAATCTCTAGGCACCTCACGATTCGATTCGATTAAGATTCAGAGGCTGCGATGCGATTATAAAATGATTATTGATGCATCTCGATGCATCTATTTTTCTATACAGGATTTCAATTTTCTCACTGTCTGAGGACTTGGTACTTTTAAAGCAAAGTATTTGTAATGATCCATAATTAATTTACTTCCAATATCTTTCATTAATAAAACAAATGGAAGTGATGTGGCAAGTGAACTGGAAGGCAAGCAAGCAAGCAAAGTTTTTTTATGTATCGCTTTTTACAACAGGTGTTGTCACAAAGCAGCTTTACAGAAAGAAAAAAAATCAGCATTACAGAAAGAAAATCCGGGTCTGAGCCCCCATGAACAAGCCAGTGGCGACAGTGGCAAGGAAAAACTCCCAAGAGAAGGAGGAAGAAACCTTGAGAGGAACCAAGACTCAGAAGGGCAACCCATCCTCCTCTGGTCAACACCGGATAGCAAACATTTTAGTAGCGGTATTATAGTACGAAGCGGGAAAAACAGGTGGGGCAATGGTTAATTTGATTAGTTTATGATTCTCCAGCGGCAGCAGCAGCATCTGAGGGTGAGGATTGCACAGCGTTGTACAGCATGAAGCTCAATGGTGCTCAAGCCGGTCCAGAAGGCTGGCAAGCAGTGGCACCCGATCAAGGCAGAAGAGGCAACAGCATCAGACGCACAGGATGGGCAGCTGTTCAACTCGGCAAAGAAAGGAAACAGACAGAGAGTCAGTTCTGTAATGAGTGACTGATCACAGATTACAGGCTCTCATTCACTGCTCTTGTTTGGAGCACATGAGACACTGGCTGCCATTCATCTGTGATAAAATGCAGTTACGGTGACATAAGATCCAGTGGCATCAGATGTCCATGCAGCACGTTACAGCTGTCCTACCCGTTTTCTTTTATATTTTTTTGATTTTGTAACTTCAGTTTTGCTCTCATTGTAGAGAGTGGGGGGATCGCTGTGTCAGTAAAATATCTTTGAGACAGGACACTGTATCTCAGCTTTAAAGTGCGCAACATAGCGCGAAAGCCCTGGTTCTCAATGACTCAGAACTGGCGTACAGACTGCAGGTCACATAACAACGCAGTCTCGCCTGGCTAGTAGCTAACAAAAAGGCAAAGAGAGAGATTTAAGATGAACATTTGGAGATGAATGGACTTATTCGCATTTATAAGCAGCGGAGTTGGTTTCCTGGAATGTTAAATCTGCAATGACAGACTGTCAAACACTTAAAAGTTGTGAAGATGAAGTCAGCTTCTCTTTCGAATTCTCCTGTTCCACGTTGAATGGTGCCGCATTTACATTCTGGCGCTCCAGGCAGAATTTAAGGTGTAATGGAAAAATTTGAACAAGAAGCTTGCAAATGAGGAGCAACTTCAGCCTCGTAAAACAATCAAATGTTGAGAGACATTTTACAAGAAATTGTTCTACTTTTGAGGAAAAGTTTTCTGGTGGAGATGGGAGGAAAGTGGCTATAGCTAAAGCTTAAAGCAGAGCAAAGTAAGTCTGTGTTTTCGTTTATATTTTTTAACCTATACTAGGACGTTATCACATACTGAGACATATTGGGCATAAAATGTTGTCGCTCCCAAGGTGGTTTGATCTTTTTTGAAAGGACAAAATGGCTCTTCTTAATATTTGGATTGTCGACTCCTGACCCAACCTAGCTTTTAATGCAGAGGGTGCTGGTCGGATTTCTCGCTCATCCGCCACAGACTGTCTGGGCGCTGCACTTCCGCACTCCCAAGTTCCGCCTTTTGCATTCCGTCAACATTATGTTATAAATTAATAATTTAGAAAATCGATTTTTGACATTTGTGAATCGATTCAGAATTGTTCATGTCCGCATCGCGATGCATTTAAGAATTGATTTCTTTCAGTTCGATAGACTTGCATGAAGTCTGAGCGTGTCTGGGACCCTGGAGTAAGGACCACTTCGGAAAAGTTGAAAGGGTGGAAGATCTTCTGCAGAATATTGTCATATCTCTTTATCTTTCTTTTGCCTCCTTGTCTAGAATAGCGAACCTAAATATATGCGTTCCCTGGCAATTCTCATGATTATGGAAATATTCAGCAGACATTTCGTGGCAATCTTCAGTGTCTATGTCCCAGTGCAGAGGGACAATCATCCCCTGAACAAGCCTTTAAAGATGATAGAAGTGCATAGTGTGAGGGGAATACTCCATTTTAAAATGCTGTTGTTTTTTTTTACTGACTGAGAAACATATTTCTTTCAGTCACACTACTCAGTGTGAGCTAAAAGAACAAACTATTCCCAGGATGAAGAAGAAAGAAGAGAACAGAATTTTACCAGAAGTCAGTGGTTGACTTTGGCTCTATGAGTTTGCTCCTGAGGGAAAACAGCAGTGTGGACAGACACGTTTCATTTGTGGCAGTCATAAGGCATTGAAAAGAGCTCTCATTCTCTCTTCTTGGTTTTTGTCCAAAGATTAGAGGAAAAAATAGATAAGGTGAAACAAAATCTCAGCCTTAGAAGTCTTAAAAGACTAGTCTTCCTTAGAAATCTCAAACTTTTCTGTTTGACTACCTCTATTGAACCTTACTTTTTCTCATCAAAGGCACATGTTTCAGTGGAGTTTTCTTGGCATCAGAATGTCTGCCTTGACTTGGTCTAACATGTTGGTCTGAGCTTTTTGAAAATAAATTATTTTTCTAGGGTCAAATCTGTGGTTGGTGTAGTGTAGTGGGTGACACCTCTGACTTCTGCGCTGTAGACTGGGGTTCAATCTCTGCCTGGGTAAGCACCCTCCACTATACCAATAAGAGTCCTTGGGCAAGACTCTTAACACTACCTTTGCCTACCTGTGTAAAATGATCAAATTGTAAGTCGCTCTAGATAAGAGCGTCTGCCAAATGCCGTAAATGTCAAATCCATGATGCACCTTCAAGCCAACAAATTTTAAAGCACATAATATTTCGATTAAATGTCTATATGATTCTGCATTATTTCAATTTTAATCATTTTCTATGTTTTCTAATTCAGCAGAATGGTGATAATAAGGGATTTTTGTCATTTTGTGTAGACGAAATGGACAACAATATTAAATAACACCAAAAATGTTGTATAAACAAAACTGAAGCATCTACTATGTGTCCAGAGACTTACAGACACATATAACATTTAAATAATTCATAAATTCATAAAAATGAAACAACTAACCTTGTTTAAAATCTTCTGTAGCTGAAGGGCAGCGTATCCATAAGTATGAACCTTAGGAAACTCCCTACAAGTCCAAACCCAAACCCCACAAAACCACATGAGCGCTGTTATAGGCCTGAACACTGATTTTTCTTTCCTTTAATAATAAGACAGTGCAAACCACAGCAGCCATGTCTACTTTGGAAGGACTTTGGAGGAGCTGTGGAGAAACGTGATCCATTAGGTGGCATACAGAGTTTGGTGGAAGTTTTTTGTGGACCCAAGAGCAAGCTCCTATAAGACCCACTGACATGAGTATATGGCTCTCTGTGTTCTTGAAAATGATCTTACTCTGATTCTGCCAGTTGCCTTTTAGCAACAGTAGTAATTAGAGGTGGGTAATCCAGGTCCAAAAAGTAAAAACCCTAGGATTTTGTTCCAACTGCCTAAACACCTTTTCTGCTGGTTTGAGCAAATTAGAGAAGTCAAGCAGTTGGAACAAAATCCTGGGGAGGGTTTTTACTTTTTGGACCTGGATTACCCACCTCTAGTAGTAATTTATATGGAAAACATATGAACACATATGATACATATTTAAAGAGGTTCAAAGCTTTTCCTCCAGCAAAATTCATGTGCAGTTCAGACCAGATGTTATGCAAAGCAAGCATGCAAACCATGCTGAATCTCCCAAGATTTTGGCTTGATTTACTAAATGGTTTCACCAAAGGGCTTGTCATCTGTTTTCAAAAGTCTTGCCATTGTTGTGGCTTCTCCTTTTCCTACATTTGAAGCAGTTAAATTTAAGATTTGCCTGTGTGGCTCAAGGGACCATATTTGGTACTGTATCATTTTAAAGTATAGACTACACAAAAAGAAGCCTCTGGTGGTACATCCTCTGTCTGTGCTAAAGTTTGGTACCCGCAACATCACTCTAACCTATGAAGGTCTTCCAGATGTCATAGAGGCCTAATGCTGAGCTGCATTTGATGGAGGAATGTAGCAGC